TGTATTTGTATTGTTTCTCACATTTGAGAAATTGTTCCCAGTCCAAGCCTGTATACAAGTCACCAAAAGCGGATTAAGGCTTTTTTTTTTTTTACCCATGGAAGTTCATAGTACTGCAGAAACTCTGAAGGTTGCACTATTCTCCTTTGAAGAACAATGGAAAAAATAGGAAGAAAATTCAGGCACAACATGTGCAAGCTAGTAAAGGTACACTTTTAAATATATGCAGCTGAGATTGCAGCTAATGTGTAGGTGTTTCTAGAAATGGTGAAGTCACTAAATGAAGCCGTGCTTCAAAATTTAGCATAAATCAAAAATGTCTGCGTCATACCTGCAACAAACTGCCCAAAGGGCTGGTTATACTCCCGCAGCAGTGTGTCCAGTGAGCTTGTCGCATATATTTTTGATATACTGTATGCTCAGTTTTGAAGCATGATCTGCTGGGGTTATTGTCCCATTAAACCATCTGAGCTAAATTTAACCTTAGACAAACTTTATTGTCATCTTGTATGCACAGAGTAAAAAAAAAAATGAAATTTCAATGCATACAGCTTTCAACAGTGAAATGAACATTACCATTTATAAAGTGCAGCAGTGATCAGAATGTAAAGCCAGTTTAAAGGAGAAGTTCACTTTTTAACACTTTAAGCCCATTTTCTGTAGTGTCCAGGATGAAATCGAATGATCGACACCAAAATGTTGACAATTGGTCCTGTCTCTGCTTTTTGGCTCATTTAGAATCCACCCCTGGCTGCTTTAGAATGGCTTCCATAGAGCATGTCCGATAATGCCCTTAAAACAACCTTAAACATTCTTTTTTTAAAATATGCTACTCACCGGGTCGTCAGCGCTGTTCAATGACGTTCCAAAAAAAGTTTCGTAAAGAAAAAACGTTCCTGTAGTGTTTTATTTAGCATTTTGTAAATCCCATTGAGTTCTGTTGGAATAGTCAATATTCCCCTGCCACCGGAAACGGAAACGGGGCCTGTTTACGCAGTTGTAGTCTTTTCGCTTCACTCTGTGTACTCCGACGTCGAGAATCAAGAATCCACCTTTCATATTCCATTTTCAGAGTTTTTAAAAGTGTTTTACAGAGACGTTAGCACCTTGACGTCGGAGTACACAGAGTGAAGCGAAAAGACTACAACTGTGTAAACAGGCCCCATTTCCGTTTCCGGTGGCAGGGGAATATTGACTATTCCAACAGAACTCAATGGGATTTACAAAATGCTAAATAAAACACTACAGGAACGTTTTTTCTTTACGAAACTTTTTTTGGAACGTCATTGAACAGCGCTGACGACCCGGTGAGTAGCATATTTTAAAAAAAGAACGTTTAAGGTTGTTTTAAGGACATTATCGGACATGCACAACGGAAGCCATTCTGAAGCAGCCAGGAGGTGATTCTGCATGAGCCAAAAAGCAGAGACAGGACCAATTGTCAAAATTTTGGTGTCAATCATTCGATTTCATCCTGGACACTACAGAAAATGGGCTTAAAGTGTTAAAAAGTGAACTTCTCCTTTAAAGTCATGGTGCAAAAGGTATTGATATGGAAAGGTTCAGTGCAGTGCAAATAAATAAATATGGTGCAAAATACAGTAGAACATTGAGTTGTGTTCTATTTAAAGGGATCATGAAAGAAATAATCCACGTTGGTCGTACAATATGATGTTTACAAGTGTGATGCAGAGTCCAGCCCAGAGTTCAGCAGATCTACAGTCTGATGGTTGTGGGGAAGAAGGTGTTGCAGAACCTACTGGATCTGCAACGTATGCTGCAAAGCCTCTTCCCAGAGGGCAGCAGGGAAAACAGTCCATGTTGGGGGTGTGAGGGGTCATATACAGTATGATGTTACGGGCTCACGACACGCAGCGCTGGGATGAAATGTCTTTAATGGAGGAAAGAGGAACCCCGGTGATCGTCTCTGTGAACCCAATTTAGGATTCAGTTTGCAATCGCAATGATGAGAGCCAGAGGTATAGTTACCATTTGGCAAAAAAACGAGCTGGCTGCCCAGGGCCCCAAGCTCCTGAGGGCCCCATAATACTCACAGGAGTACCCTAGTCGTCCGCCAGAATGTCATGGGGCAATATTAAAAAAACGATTCAATCTCAAAAACCAAATCAACGCAAATTCTAATTTTACCTGCACAAATTAACTAGCACTGAAAAGGTAGAACCTTTTTATTCAATTCACAGCTTAAAGGGGGGGATAGTTGACCTCAGTATGACCGAAAAAAATAACTGTTAATATCTCTAAAACAACAGTAGCACACATCTTTCATTTTTACAAATGCGCATTTTAATTGCACAAACTTGTACTAATGAAGCTCAAGGATATACAGTGAGAGGTGATGATAGTTTTTATTTTTTCTTCTGATGAGAACAAAAATATCATGCTTTGTTTGAATTAAGCTGTTTAGAGTGTTTTAATAGTCATTCTCCCCCAGTTAGTTTTAAAGGTGATGCTACTGCCACCTTGTGTCAACTTGTTTAATTTTCATTTGAAGTATGATCAGCAACTTTTGGATTTGTTTTGGGAAAGATGGTCTGAATATAAAGAAGATTTCTGATTAAAACATAGCATCAAATATTTAGAGCTAGTAAAGAAAATCCCCCTGATGAGCTAAGGAGATAAGGTATGTGACTAGAGATCAGATGCACATAGACCTCAAAAAATAAGTTCTGCAGATTAAAATAAGTCTTTCAAATCAATGCTTTTACAGTGTTTACATCTAGACAGAAAATAAGAGTTAATGCGGTTCCATCAGTACAGGTGATGGTGAAAAAACTCCAGATGAAATCCATCCAATGATTTTAGCAGAATGATTGCTTTAAAAATAAAGATATATGGCAGACGTGCTTTAAATGTATAGTTTTGTTTTTTTCATTAAACATCACAATAGGCATTAGGCGGGGAAAAAATGATATGGTCCTTTCTTAAGGGCTGTGTTTTCCAAGTTTGTTTCTCTTAATGGACGTTATGGCTTAAAGCCAGTCTAAAAAGTCCAAAATTCAGGTTCTCCTGGAAAATAATATCAAGATTGACACAAAAAGAACTTTAAACTGAAATGTATTAAAGCCAACAGTCATTCCCCTCTATTTTATTTATATACAGAGGAGCAAAATAGTATGTATTCAATCACTAATTGTGCAAGTTCTCCTACTTAGAAAAGAGATCTGTATAATGTTCATCATAGGAAAAACAAAAACAGAAACTTCAATTATACCGGATTTTAAAATAATTTATTTGTATATTACGCTGGAAAATAAGTGTTTTCACTTTCAAATAATCCGGTAACTTATATAATAAGCTCATCTCTCCTCAGCTGGTTACCTGTATTAATGGTTCTGCTTAAACTGGTTATAACGGACACCTGTCTCAACCTCAAACAGACTCCAAACACAACCAAGGCCAAGATCAAAGGGCTGTTGGAGGAAACCAGGAAGAAAACCGTAGACCGGCAACAGGCTGGGAAGAGATCATCTACAACAGGAAGAAGATTGGTGTGACAAAATCAGCCGTGGAGCAACTGGAAGAAAATGGGAGACATAGAAGGCCATTGATGATCTCCCTCCATCTTGGGCCTGACAGAAGATCGTTCCCTGTGGGTTCAAAATTATCATGAGAACAATGAGCAGAAACCCCAGAGCTACATGGAGGGAACAGATGATAGAGATGCAGATAGCTGGAACCAAAGGCTGCCACCAGTAACACACTAAGACCAAAGGCACCCCGATCCTGCTAAGACATTACCTGTCCAGAACCGTCTGGAGTTTGATAGAGAGCAGATGGAAGATCCATTCACCAAAAGATGTTTTGGGTGTATGTATTTTTTTTTCAATTTCGGGAGTATACATAGATTATTCATTCATGCAGTCAACAGGAGACCTGTTCTGAGTGTTTATTTGGCTAAAATTTATATCCTTAATAAATTTGTGTTTTTTTCTTGGGAATAACCAAATATTCAAGTGTGAGAAAGTTCTTTGTGTAGGGGTGGGATAGTTCCAAGGGAGAATTTGTGTATTGGTAATTACTGTATACATGTATGTACTGAGCTTTGCCCAGTCAGAGCTAAATCTTTCTGTCTGAGGACTTGAAATAAATTTGAACATTCTCTTGCAAGAGCCTCTGCTTCCCCCTCAAGTCCACAAAAGAAAGAAGGTTTGCAGTCGCAGCAGATTCAGCGTCATGTCTGCTAGGAAGATTGTTGGTCGTGGCCGTGAACGCAGGGAGGATCCATCACGCTCACCCTATGATGGGGATGAAGTCTGGAGGAGAACTGAGTTTCCTCCTGTGAACCCTCTATTATACCAAAACGCTGCCAGTATGTATGTTGATATGCGTTGAAGATAAGACCTTGATAAGTTACACATAAGTTAAACAAGACGCGCAAATGCCACAACTTATGAGTAACTTACACTTAACACTGTCAATGATTAGATAAGTTACCCGTAACTTATAGCCCATGTATGAGCATACGCTGACATACGTCGAGAAATTTTCTTGCCCTTACATTTTTCTTAAATTTCTTAAGAATTTTTTCTTAATTTACTTACCGTATGTCGACATGTGCCACGGTGTTTTAGCAGGCTTCAGCGCACTTCAGCGTGCTAATAACTTATACATAATGTACCCATAAATTATCCAATGTATGCCAGCGTTTTTGCCATTCACTGATCAGATAACTTATCTGTAACTTATGTCACAGCCGCCCAGGTATGAGCTGGCATACGTCAAGAATGCCAGTGTACGCTCTCGACGTACTTGCTGTATGTCGACGTGCGTGCTCATAACTTAGACAAAACTGACCCATAACTTATGCAATATTTTGCATATTTTGCCATATTTTTCTTACATCAGGCATACGCTGGTCTAAATCGTCAAGGTGTGACAGGGGCTTAATGCTCACTGGTGGTTTTCCATGATGGAAACCTCGATATTTATGTAAAATATTTTATTTTTGTGTGTAAATAAAGAAGACTGACTCAACGACAGCAGTTTTTGACAGATGGCATTTATTCTCATCAGGCATCTGACATTAGAATCGCTACAGTTCGCCATTTCGCTAATGGCTACTAAAGAAAGCGTAATAAAATTAAAATAAAAAAACAGAAAAAAGAGGCAAACTCTTCGGAGCCTTAATGCTGCCAGTTGGTCCTCCTGGGTCAACTGTGAGACCGGATCCAGATCCATGGCCACCAAAGCTAACATTCAGTCACATTTGAATTTATGCAGCATCATAAACAGACATGAAATTCCACGGTGTGTACAGCTACTTTCATCAAACATTCATAAGCAAGATCGATTACAGAGAAACCACAAGTATCAGAAGTGGGGGAAAAACATTTGATGATGCAGTGAGCTGGACGACACCGACGCTCTTAAAAAAAATAAATGACAAATACATACATACAAGAAGTGGAGCTATGATACTAGGTAGAGCTCGCCTGGAGTCCATAACAACAACAAAACCTCGAGAAGAAAGTTAGCATAGACGTTAGCAGCAAAAGGGGTGGAAATTTAGTGCCGTGGGATCATAGTGGAGAAAGATTGTCACACGAGAGGTGGTGCGGTTCCCTCCGAGGTTAAACCTGCTCACATTTAAGGATTGCGTTAGTTTCAAAGCTTAATTGTTATTTATTTTACAAGTGTTCAAGTGCTAAAGGAACAGTTCCTCATGTCGGAGGACATCAAACAGACCATAAAGAAGTTAAAATGGGACCAGCTTGTTTAGATATGCACAGAGAAATGAATCAGCTCCTTCAGCCAAGACAGAGGAGCAGTTGACCAAAGTTCTCTATGATTGGGGCGCGGCATCATCACACAGAGACAGCAATGCAGCTTGTAAAGCCAATTTATGCTTCTGATGCATAGCCTCTGCAGCCGTCAAATCTGTCTCTGTGCGCGACCATGGCCCCCCCGCACAGGTTCTGCAACCGTTGTCACGCACCTCAAAAAAATCCTGACTACACATTGGACGGTCGCAAACCTGGACGGACCTCAAGTGTGCAGACAAAAAGCAGCTGTGATTGGTCCTTAGTATGCCTTTCCAGCTGTCTGTGTGGTCGTCCTTCTCGATTCTGTGCCGGGGCGTGCCATTTTTAAAAACCGAGGAACTACTACACTGAACGACTATAACGAAAGGTTAATCGGCCTTTTTACCAACTCCATTAACAGAACCTTTTCCTCTTTGATGTCTAGCAACTCTAGATCTATCTCCGTGACCGTGATATCTTGCAGACGCGCCATTGTTGTTTTTGGAAGAAAAACAGTCCCGCTTGCGCCGCCGAAGTTCCCGTGACTATCTGCCAAAGTTCTCGCGACTTCTCGAATAGGCCCCCCTTGCGCTTTGGCGGGAAACTGTTGTGCATCCCTAGAAACTCCAGACCGACGGTGCAGAAGCATACCAGCAAAACTGGTTCGCGACCAGACGTAAGCTACATATAACGCAGAACTCTAATCTGCACTTTAGTGTTGGTTTAAATTAACCGGTAAACAGACGTAGAAAACTTTTATAAATGAAACCGGATAAGCTATTTAGCTGTTTTAGCTATTTGCCGTTTGTTCAGGCTCTAGGAAAGTTTCAGCAGGTAACAGAAAAAATGTATACTTCTCAGACAAGTTCCTCTTTTATCTTCTGTTGTAGAACATCTGTGATGGAACATGTTGGAGGCTTCTAGGAAATACCAGCTAAGGTAAATTATGTTTCATAGATATATTAATGTAGTCTGTTTTTAGGAATGCTAGCCATGCTGACTGTGCTTTTGCTATACAAAAGATGCTAAAGCCAGTATAATGAGGGAACTTAAAGAATTTAGTGTCCTAAAGTGACAAATCACAGCAGGAAGGCTAGAAAAAAAAAAAAACAAACACAAAAAACTTTAAATCATGTTCTCTACCATCTTTTTTTTTTAGAGAATTTGTAACTGGCTAGAAATTTTGGCAGATTAAAATGTTTGAAAACATAATAAAAATGAGCAAAAAGAAAAATGCATAAAATCCTGCCAATCAACAAATGATAAAAGAGACATGATGAATTACTGAACTGAAGCCCTTTGAAGGTTGATGTGGTTTGAAGGGGAAACATCTTCACAACTACTGGCAAGAATAAAGGTTGCACAGGTTTGCTTCCTGGACTAAAGCTGCAACAAAACAGCAGAAATAAGAGGAAAAGATGCAGCATCTTTCCAGTTCCTCTCTGCTTTATGGACAACTTGACTCCATTATCGTTTCAGGCAAAGAAAAGTATTTATAAATAGAAATAAAAATTAAATGCAATCCTGAAATGAAAATCTGAAAAAGCAACTTTGTTTGTACAAATTACATTTTTTTCTCAAGGCTTTTTATTTCCGTTTTATTTATATATTACATTATTGTAATACATGCCTTTTCATCAATTTTTTTTAAAGATATTAAATTTTTTCTATTTCAAATTTATCTTTTTTAGATTGAATTGTACAAACTGTATTCTTTTCAAACTGTTTTCCAGATCACATTGGCCGTTTCACAATATGTGCACTTGTGCGTTCTCATGTGTACTCGTGAAACATCATCAGCCTCAGCCATAGTACTGTTCCAATTCAGAAGAACACAAGTGGGAGAACAGAAAAAGTCCCCACATGTTGTTCCTGCCCCTCCCTTTTTACCCAGCATGCTCAGAGCAGACTTGTCCATTCTTGAGATTGACAGCTGCCCCAGCATGCACTGCGGCAGCAGCAGCTTCCAAAGGAGCACTTACTGAGCTCAGAGTATTAAGTTATAAGATCTATTTTCTGTTGCCGTTCTTAAAAGTACGTTCATTTGATGCGAGAATATTATACTTTAAGCTTAAACTATATCACTCATTTAGTGATTTAATGAGTAATTTTTTTTTATTTGGCAAAACATTCATTTGATTTGTGTTTATCCGACTGTGTCTTTATTATTATTCCCCCACTAATTGAAAAAGGTAAGAATTTATTATTATGTACAGACTATTAATAACAGGAGGTGAAATGCAGCTCCAGACGAGTCGAGCATGTGGTGATGTCACAAGTACGCTTCTTGTGACGTCAAGAACATACGTGGTAAGAACACGAGTCTGCACTCGCGTTCTTGTGAATTGAGAAACAGCAAATTATCTTCCCCTCTGGGGGCGGGCTTTCTGTTGGAGTGAGCTGCAAAGACGCATCTCCATTTGTCTGCATGGAGGTCAGCATCAACATTTTTATTGGTCAATTTGCGCATAGAAAAAACGTTTGAGTTGGGCTTAAAGTCAAAAGATAGTGAATTGTAAAATGCAAGTTGAAAAAAATTGAAAAGCTACTCTGAACTCTTTCTTTTGAGAAAGAAGTTCTTCAAAGATTAATTTTTTTAAGAGTATTTTTTTTTTTTAAGTTTTGATTTACGAAACTTGTTCTTTGCTTGGAATAATAATGGAACAAATTCCACTCCATACTTTGATATCTTTTCTTCCCACAGATTTTAGAAACAGTTCTTCCTAAATCTGGGAACACAACAAGATTCATGCTTTTCTCTGCTTACCAACCGAATATGCAGAGTTGTGCAGCCTATTGAAGTGGGTTTAATAAATACGAGGGATTCTTGTGGTTAATCTTCCACAGCACAGGCAGAAATATGCCTTCCTGTACTGCAGACGGAGTGACTGTTCAGAATCTATGGCACTTTTCCATTCCATGGTATAATTCAACATGGCTCTTCAAGCTTCATTTTTCTCTGCGATAGAGAATCCTCTGGGTACGGGTGGGATCAGCTGCTCCTCGTGGTAGAGAATGAGCTCAGCATTTCGAATGACTGCTCACCAACAGGATCAGGACGCATCCGTAGAGTTCCAGTTCATACAGCTGGAAACATAAACCAAGCTGCACCGAACCATGAAATAAAAAAAAAATACCAGAAGAAGAACTAAAAGGTGCTTCAATAGGTTCTGGTGAGATGGGATTACTCGGCATGTTTGGGTTCAGTCACAGATTGGGAAGTCTGGACGGTGAGCGTCTGATTAAGAAGTCTGAGGTCAAAGTGCAGAGCAGGAGCATCACCGTCAAAACCTTAGAGCTCCTAGTTACTGGCCACCTCATCTGCATTGTCCACGGCCTCCACGGTGCTGTCCAGGCCGCCGCGGGCTCGCCAGATCTTCACTGTGCGGTCGCTAGAAAACCAGAACACAGGTTAGCAAAGAAATTCAAGTAAAAACAGGCCCAACAGAATTAGAGAAAACTTATTAAAAAAAATAAAAATCATAGCTTAGGTTCACAGAACATTTCCAGGAAAATATCCTCAATGTTATCCTGTCCCTTTAGTCTCACGAGAACAGGAAGGTTTTTTCATTGTTATTCATAGTCTTTTATTCAAAGTAAAGCATGCACCTGTGACCCTTAGTTGATTTAAGTAATAAAGTACTCATATTGTGCGGTCCTACTTCCTGCTGTGCTCCAAAATTCACGATTTCTTTTAAGTGAAAGGTCATGGTTCACTTCCTCTTCATTCTGTGGCCTGGTCTGTGTCAGCACTTTGGCAAAGAAATGAAATTTTGCACCTTCAACTCATGTTGGACCTTGAAAACTAAAATAAATGAGTCACTTTCCCCTTTATAATTCATCTTCAGACTGCTTTCAAAATAAGATCACAAGTTAAATAAACACGTTGCTTTATCTAGTCAGGAAGTGCTACATCAGCAACCTTCTATTGGAGATGTACCCTAAATGAGAGGCCAGGCCAGGCCAAGACTCTTGTTTTAAAATGTAAGCTCCAATATTTCTATTAACCAGTTGAGCAGAATTGTTTGGAGGGATCTACTCTATGTATTTGTCATGATTTTAGGCTTTTGATCCTTTTTTTCTGCATTTTTGACTCTTTATTTAAAAAACAGTTAAAATCAGAATGAGATGAATGCAGTAGAACATTCTATCGAGGTTGCTCTACTTGTCTTTAATAATGTGAACAAAACATTAACATCTATAAACATTACATAGGGGTCAGTTAAATATGAATGAAAAATATTAAATAAAACACATGGCTAACAACAGAGCTATCACTGCATGAAAAGTGGGATTTTCGTCAATATACGGCACTGTAGATTGTCGTGGAACTTCAGGTTAGCGGCAGTTTACGGCAATTTGCAGGCTTCGTTGTAAACTCCCGTAAATTGTCAGAAATTGACGTGGAATTTCTTAGGCAGTGTTCCCCCCATGCCTCCCCCCCATGGAATTCTAGGGGAGGCTTTAACATGTAAATGAACTAGCTGTGAGCTATACAAATGCAAACCAGGGTTGCAGGGGGGGTTTTACCCCAAGTGACATCTTTCTGAGGAAGAAAATCTCTGATACAAAGAGATCAGGCTTAGTATAGCCTCTCACATTTTAGCTTGAATTGATTTATTTAATTAAAGTATAGAGACCAAAACAGATCTTTAGCCGACAGAGCAATACATTTAGAGCAGTAATTATTTTAAAAAAAAATTGCATTTAAGATAAAAAATAAAATGTTGTCTGTCAATATGCTCAATTCACAATTACTTAAGTGGAAAAGTTTCAAGAAATTAGTCTGAGATGATTCACTTTATATCATGGCGCATTATCCTGTTGGAAGTAGCCATCAGAAGATTGGTACACTGTGGTCATAAGGTCCGGCCAGGTCAAGATTCGCAATTGCAATTGCACCAAACAGGAAAAAGAACATCGACAAATTCCGGTTCGTCAAATTAAAATATAGCAGCAACAGATCGGTGACTAGAAATTATAGCACAATTCTTATATATATATATATATAAAAAAAAAAAAACTAACACCGTTTATTTAAATGATTGGATCCAAACTATTGGTTATTCACCAACGAGGAAGCAGATTTCTCATCTCCATCAAAATATTGATTTTATACCGAGGGACTTAAACTTTAATGAAATCCATTCAAAAGAAACTTCTTATTACAGGAATGAAAAGAGATGCTGAGTTTGGAAGTAGTGAACAAGTTCATTAAAAAAAGCAGTTTTGAATTATCCTTATCCCCGTTACAAAAATCTACAAAAAAATATATATATATATATTTGGGCAGAAACTACCATACCATACCATACCATACCAGCTTTATTTATAAAGCACTTTAAAACAACCACAGTTGATACAAAGTGCTGTACAGTTTAAGAACACAACATAATAAAAATAATTTAAAAACAGTTTAAAAGCAAAAAACATACAATTTAAAACTAGATCCCACTGGTGTTGAAAGCCAAGTAAAATAGATGGGTTTTAAGACGAGCTTTAAAAATGGGCAAAGAAGGGGCCTCTCTGACCTGCAAAGGTAAGTTATTCCATAATTTGGGGCCCATAACAGAGAAAGCCCTGTCCCCTCTGAGCTTCCTTTTTGTTCTCGGTTCCTCCAAGAGCAGCTGATTTGCTGACCTGAGAGACCGATGGGGTACGTAGGGATGAAGAAGCTCAGAGAGGTAAGCTGGGGCAAGATTATGCAATGATTTAAAAACAAACATAAGAATTTTAAAATGAATCCTAAAATATACAGGCAGCCAGTGAAGTGAGGCCAGGACAGGGGTCACATGCTCTCTCTTTCGAGTACCTGTCAAAAGTCGTGCAGCAGCATTTTGTACTAGCTGCAGACGTGAGAGCAGCGACTGACTGACACCCAGATAAAGTGCATTACAGTAGTCCAATCGAGTTGAAACAAAAGCGTGGATCAGTGTTTCAAAATGCTGCCTGGAAAGAAAAGATTTCACTGACGCCAATCGCCTTAAATGATAAAAGCTGGACTTAACTACGGCTCTAATTTGGCTGTCCAATTTAAAATCACTGTCCACCTTAAAACCAAGATCAGTAATAACAGGTTTAAAATATACCTGCAAAGGTCCCAGGTCAACAGAGGAGGACTCACAAGAGCCACTGGGTCCAAACACCATCACGTCTGTTTTGTTTTCATTAAAGTTTAAAAAGTTCAAGGCCAACCAAGCTTTAATATCTCCTAGACATGCCAGGAGATGTTTGATTGAATGTACATCCTGCTGCTGTATGGGCAAATAAATCAAATAAACTGAACATATGCTGGATGATGGTGGGATTTTTTTAATATGTCATATTAAATTAAGCGTTCACAGGGTTCATACAGGAATGAGTGACTCTAATTTAATGCTATTTAAATGCTATTAGAAATGATTTTAATACCATCAACAAGAATCATGTACACAAGTTATTAGTGTACATGAAATATGAAGGAGCTGCAAGCAGAGTTCCATGACTCCTGTATGTATGTAAACACACACACATACACTATATTGCCAAAAGTATTTGCTCACCTGCCTTGACTCACATATGAGCTTAAGTGACATCCCGTTCCTAATCCATAGGGTTCAATATGACGTCGGTCCACCCTTTGCAGCTAGAACAGCTTCAACTCTTCTGGGAAGGCTGTCCACAAGGTTTAGGAGTGTGTTTATGGGAATTTTTGACCATTCTTCCAGAAGCGCATTTGTGAGGTCGCACACTGATGTTGGACGAGAAGGCCTGGCTCTCAGTCTCCGCTCTAATTCATCCCAAAGGTGTTCTATCGGGTTGAGGTCAGGACTCTGTGCAGGCCAGTCAAGTTCATCCACACCAGACTCTGTCATCCATGTCTTTATGGACCTTGCTTTGTGCACTGGTGCACAGTCATGTTGGAAGAGGAAGGGGCCAGCTCCAAACTGTTCCCACAAAGTTGGGAGCATGGAATTGTCCAAAATGTCTTGGTATGCTGAAGCATTCAGAGTTCCTTTCACTGGAACTAAGGGGCCAAGCCCAGCTCCTGAAAAACAACCCCACACCATAATCCCCCCTCCACCAAACTTTACACTTGGCACAATGCAGTCAGACAAGTACCGTTCTCCTGGCAACCGCCAAACCCAGACCCGTCCATCAGATTGCCAGATGGAGAAGCGCGATTCGTCACTCCAGAGAACGCGTCTCCACTGCTCTAGAGTCCAGTGGCGGCGTGCTTTACACCACCGCATCCGACGCTTTGCATTGCACTTGGTGATGTATGGCTTGGATGCAGCTGCTCGACCATGGAAACCCATTCCATGAAGCTCTCTGCGCACTGTTCTTGAGCTAATCTGAAGGCCACATGAAGTTTGGAGGTCTGTAGTGATTGACTCTGCAGAAAGTTGGCGACCTCTTCGCACTATGCGCGTCAGCATCCGCTGACCCCGCTCCGTCAGTTTACGTGGCCTACCACTTCGTGGCTGAGTTGCTGTCGTTCCCAAACACTTCCATTTTCTTATAATACAGCTGACAGTTGACTGTGGAATATTTAGGAGCGAGGAAATTTCACGACTGGATTTGTTGCACAGGTGGCATCCTATCACAGTTCCACGCTGGAATTCACTGAGCTCCTGAGAGCGACCCATTCTTTCACAAATGTTTGTAAAAACAGTCTGCATGCCTAGGTGCTTGAATTTATACACCTGTGGCCATGGAAGTGATTGGAACACCTGATTCCAATAATTTGGATGGGTGAGCAAATACTTTTGGCAATATAGTGTATATACGTATATATATATCCTCTAGCTTTTTCTCCGCCTGGAGCGATATAATATATCTGACGAAATTGTTTTTATAAGCATTTTTTATTAAAGAATTATAAATACTTCGATAAACATATTTAAATAATTTTAGTGCCAATTAAGGCCTTGATTTAAAAAAAAAAAAAAAAAGAATGATTTTTTAATTATTTTTATTGATCCGCGGAAACTCTGGTTCATCTCGCGCATGCTCTGTACGATCTCCAAGAAACTTAGAGCGGCGGGGTCTGGATCCATAGTGGAGGATGCTGCTTTGCTTTGTGCAGGCGGTCTGGAGCGTCTGGATTTCGGGGTAAAACTCCTCTTGGACGCGATGGCGACTCTGCATCGAACAAGACGAAGTCAAAGAAGAGATGCTAGCGGTAAATATATGTTCGATTACTGCCTGCTAAGCTAAAAGCAGCCTAGCCTAAGCTACCGGCTAATAGCAGCCTAGCTATTAGCCTATCTAGCCTAGCCTTGCAAGAACAAGCTTTATTAAAGTGTATTTTTTGTGATTACAGGAAGCAGTATGCCGTCTTAACAACTCGGAGACTAATTGCAGGCGCTATGAACCGGAGCAAGGGTAAGATTTAAAGAATATGCTTTCATTCTGCGGTAAAAGGCAATGGATACGGATAGACACCGATCATAGCTTTTACATTTTGTTTTCACAGACTACTGTCGCCTCACAATGAGGCGGTGACCTCCTATTTGCTCGGAGCCATAATCAGCAAGTCCAGATTTGCACGATGTTGATAAAGACGACATTGTGTGTAAGTGACTTGTTTTAATGTTTTCTCCTTCCTTGTTACTGTGACTTGCGTTTGATTTTTTATTTATACCACTCTCATTTAATTGTTTTCCAGCTGCCTGTAAGACGTATTTTCAGACGGTACGCAGGAGCTTCAGATATAGGCTGCCAGCCAACACGCTGCGTGCGGAGGCTATCTGCTCGGAGTCGGGCCAGAAGAAAGAGGGTAAGACTTTATTTGGTGACTATTTTTCAGGTGCATTAATAGATGTGTTGTGTCCATACGCAGTGCGCTGATTCATTGTTTTTTTTTTCAGCTGCTGAAAGCGAGGCAGAGTGTGCTAACAGATGAGGAAGTGGAACTCTGGAAGTCCGCCTTCCTCGGCGGTGTCTCTGGATGGATTGTACGGTCGCCGCCATTTCGTAGGCCGGATCTCACTGAACTCTGTGTTAAGCTGCAGTCCCGGTTAGAAGCGATGCCGAAGAACAGGGCCGCGCACAGTAGGCGTCTGCACATCGGACCTGCCTCGGAGGGAATGCTGCCAGTTACCTCCAACCCCGAGGAAGCAAACGGACCATTCACGGACTTTTAATTTTTAGAAACGCATGTGTTTGGATACGCGTTGTATATAGTTGTGTGTGTTTCAATAAAGCTCTTTCTTTGCATAAACAGCTTCCTGCAAATGTTCATTTCCTGTATAAATTCATTCATGTCCTTGATGGTAGCCTAATAATTGTGTAGTAGTGTAGGATAACATAAATACACACCATATGAATGAATAAATATGAATGAATAAATATATGAATGAATAAATATATATATATATATATATATATATATGAATAAATATATATATGTAAATATATATATATGCCAACCAATCACGAGCGACTTTACTTGTTTAAAAAGAAGTGGTTCCATCCAATACTCAGTAAGAAAATTAAAGCCTGGCGTGGCCACGTGTGGTTTTGCTGCCAATCACGAGCGATTTCATTTGTTTGAGAATAGTGGTTTCAGCCAATACTGAGTAGGTTATTCAAGCCAGACCTGGCCAGCCGCGCGGGTTTGCTGCATTCATATGCTAATTAGGGCCATTAGTACAGCTGATCGCTCTCCACATACGTCACGGTACGTTTTCGACAATTTGTGGCACGACAAACGCGGACAAGCACGGGTTGCAAATTGTCGGAAACTGACGAAAATCAGGCAGATCTGCGGGAGTTTACGGGGGTTTACGGGGACGAAAATCTCACTTTTCATGCAGTGTATGATATGAGGTAAAGGGCTGGTTATCCTCCCGCAGCAGTGTGTCGCAGTGAGGTTGTTGCAGATATTGTTGACTTATGCCCAATATTAAAGCGTGTTCTGCAATATGTTATTCCACACCATAACGCCAGAGGGACAATCAGGAACTAGCTGTGGGTCTAGATACGGCCGAGGTGGTGAAGAGGTGGGGGAAAGTTTGTGTGACAATGGAGGGATGTGAAGGCGAAAAAGAGCGGGGAATTAGGTGGAAAAAGGGTCCCAGCGTTCTCGCGCACCTCTCTCTTCTAGCTGATCCAACTTCATGAGTCGTTTTCTGCAATTGCGGCCATACAGACAAAACAAGCCGGTAAGGTACCAAACAGGAAATACGCATAGTGTAGAGCAGATGTAGATTTGACCAATCAGAGGCCTCCTGCCGTCAACTACAATTTTGGAGAGGTGCAGCAGAGTGTCTGTGGAGGGGGCGGGGCATATCTGCGTTCACAGCGACACACACGCTGACGACCTGGTTTCTGAGTATAAACCGACCTTAAAACCTCTCACTCCGTAAACTTTTTCCTAATGGTTTCAAATTTTGTGAAATAATTACCAAAAGTATCGGGTCTGTCACATGTCTGCCTTTATTTTGAATGAGCTGAACACCTTAACAACCTCACCGTGTGTGTTAGGTCCATCTAAACACTATCAAGGCAATACTTGATGGATATAACCCTTTTTTATGATGATCAAAGGATTTTTGGTATCTTTTAACCATACATTATAATCTTTCTATGCTCCTTTAACTCCAAAGCAAATGGTTTTGTTTTTTTTTATGAAACCCTCTGGATAAAAAAGGGGAGCATTTCAGTGCATCAGAATATTAAATATTAAAGGTGCTGTATGGGAACTATAGACCGATTACAGGCTGTGTGTGCTGGACTTACTCAGATGCTGTGAACAGGTGGCTGCTGTTCGTAGCGATGCTGTTAATGGGGCTCTCATGACCCTTAAGCTCCCCCAGGGGCCCCAGTGTGTCCGTGTGCCAGAGCTTCAGCACCCCTCCTCTGCAGCCACTCAGCAGTGCCGGGGAGCAGGGGACGATGCCCAAGGCGCAAACCCAGTCACGGTGAGCATTGGGGACTTGCTGTGAATGACAATGACACAGATTTTATTAATCACTGTAACTTGAGACATTTGAAAAGAGGTTGGATGGTTTAACTTGATGGGAAACCGTCACAACTAAAATATTTTAAAAAATTACATTAATCTTACACGATAAAATTAGATTAAGACATCGAGAAAAATTTATCTATGCATTTGTTTCTGCACCTGCAGCAAATCTTTGCGATCCAGATCCCACTTTTTGATTCCATTGTCCCGAGAACCGCTGAAGAAATTGTCCCCCTGGACCACCAGGGACTCGATGCCATCGTAGTGGGGGGGCTCAAAGTTGTGCATAGGGCTGATGGTCCCCAGAGAGCCTTCACTCACATCAAACAGCTGCAAGAGCAGGAGGCGTGTTTGTGATAACAAAGAAAATAAACCTGCTGTCAGAAAAAAGACCAAAAATCTTCATGTGAACGGCAAAGGGAAGAGACCCACCTTAATGTAATGGTCCTTGGACCCGGTGATCACCAAGTCTTGGTTGCTTCCAGACTGATCCACGGTCAGACACATTACAGGACCCAGGTGACCCGTTAGTTTTCCAGTGGAAGCGAATCTGACCAAGAATTAAACATATGAAAACTTCACTGTTCCTCCCAAAAACTATGCGAGGACGTCTCATCACAGAACAGATGATGATGATGAGGATGTCATGGCTACAAGGAGGATGTTTCCCATTGCAAAGTGAAATCTACGGAGTGAATTTTGTTCCAGTATTGTTGAAAGCAATAAAAGGTTTTGTAGATGGACATTTGGGAATAAAATGCAATCTAAGATTAGCCTTTGTCAAAAGAAAAACAAAGAAAAAAAACAAAAAAAACAATAGTAACTTTGCTTTTCACATATTTGTTAAGTTTTATTAATGTTTTCATATTATATCCATTTCAAATTTTTTATATTTAATTTTTCTAATTTGACTTTAATAAATGTCTTGTCAAAATGAGTTTTTAAAATTCGATTGCCATTGTCTACACTTCGAGGGGAAGGTTTTCCTCTGGAGTGTGGAACGAAGGCATTTCTATTAGTCTGCTGGACGTTAGCGACAACATTTGGTTAGTAAATGTGTGAGAGTTTGCATTGAACAATATGAGGTAAATGTGATCTATGAAATAATTTGAAAATAGCATCAGTTAAACTTGACCTAAAAGAGTTTGAATATAAAACAGCTAGGAAGTTAGTAGAAAAAGATTTGAAAAATAAAACTTGGGGGGAAAAATGGAATATGAAAAATGATTTGAAAAATTAAAATATGAGAAAAACAACAAAGTAACTCTGAAAACATAATTTTTTTTTAATAATTTTTTTTTTAAGTTTCTTTCCTTTCTTACATTTTACTCTAATTTCCATAAACAAGATTTTTTCTTTTCTTGCAAGAATAATGGAACGAAGTTCACTCCATACAGAGCCAGCTTGTTCCAGCTTGTGAGAAAATGTATGGCTGTTTACTCCCATGGGAAACGACAGAACAGGATATTTTAGTAATTTTACTAAGGCAAAATGACCGTTTTAAACAGAGTTATTTTTTAGGATAAATAAAGTGAGTGATCTATCAAAGCTGCAGCAGCAGGGTAACAGAATTCAATCTGTAGCCTTGATCAACTTCTGTCAAGTTCTCTTAAATCAGCTCATTTAAGGTGCAGTCAGGAGAATATGAGCTTTTTGATAAAGCCTTGCGTGTCAAATGTTCTCCCATTTAGTCACTTTACATGCTCAAATCTCAGTGTATCTTACTGGGATTTTAAGATTAACTGTTTTTTTGTTAAGTAAAGGGAGGTATACTCTTTAAAATTTGCCAAAGAATAATTTGCAGTTTTTTAAAAATCCTTGGGTTGAACTTTTTTATTTAAGAGCAAGCAAAGAAGTGATTTTGTAAAGTTGACAAAGAGGCAATCCAGATGGAAAACCTCCTATTTCTCTTTTTTAGATCCAGTTTTTAATATTTTACAGATCCCATTGTCTTCACCTTAAGCCCGCTAGCATCCGTTCAGACCAGGAGAAATCACTCCACAGCCAACCAATTTGAAAACAGTGCTATTTAAATAACCTGAGAAACAGACGTTTGAAAAAAAAACAAGAAATTTAAAAATATAAAATCTGTACAAATAAAAAAGAAAACGTCAAAGTTAATATTTAAACTTCTGGATTGTTTTTCCTAAATTTCAATTACAAAATATGTTCTTTGTTGGCAACAAGGTTGGGGGAAAAAAAATCTATTCCATATAAACCTTTTCCAATTATCAACTGTATTAAGTCTGGACTTGGACTAGGCCATAAACATTAATTTCCTTTGACCAAATTCCTCCTTAGATGTAATTTTAAGGTTAAATACTCATTTCCTTGTTTACCTGTTAAAATGGAGGGGAATTGCAATCATTTTAAGACACTTTCACTCATTTTTTAAAATCATTTTTGCAGTGAACGCTGATGGAGCCTTATACCTCTCTAAACTGCTTAAAGCAGGAAGGTTTTTTTTTTTCTTTTAACACTTAGCTGCAGAGAGGATTTCTACAACAGACTACCAACATGTGATACATGGATTAATCAACTTGCACTAAAGTAGACTGTAATGATTTGATTCCTAAAATTAAGTTCTGGTAGATTTTATTGAAGGTTTAAGAGCAATGATCTGTTTAGTGTTAATGTAATAAATAAAATCCACTGAGGTTGCTGATTGTGAGGTGAAAACACTTTTCCAGAGCTCTGAACATCTCTAAATGTTAGAGCACACGCCCAGTTTAAACATGGCCTGAGTTAAATAATATTATTTAAAAAGCAGAGATTAAACCTTTACTGTTTGTGCAATAAAAAGCCTGTAACCAACTCTGAGATGAACAATTCTTACAAAACTGGATTAAAAAGTAGTTAATTGTATTCACATGCAATCCTGTTGATCAAGGAATAAACTTTTAAAGGCCTCCATGATCACCTTACCTTCTCAGATCCCACACCCGCACAGAGTTTCCAGCTGCAGCGTACAGCACTATCCCATTGGGATTGAGAGCTATTTGGTTGATCTGGTTTTCTCCTGAGGGGATGGTGACTGTCCGACTTGTACTGGAAGCACAGATGTCCCCGAGGTTGACCTGACCAGAGGACCTGGACACACAGATGGGAACCGATTAATGACCAATATGTTTGATGCACTCTAGTTGCTTTCAGGGGTGGGCAATTCCAGTTCCTGAGGGCCGGTATCCTGAAGGTTTTACATCTTTCCTTTATCAAACACACCTAAAGCAAATGGCTGAGTTACCTCCTCAGTATGCAGTCAGTTTCTCACAAGTCCTCTCAATCAACTAATTACTTGATTCAGGTGTGTTGAACCAAAGGCACATCTAAAAGTTGAAGGATACTGGCCCCCAGGAACTAGAATTGCCCACCCTTGCTTTAGATGGTCTGAAATATCCTGTATAATGAACAGCTGGTCCTTTAAGCGTCTATGAGGTCTGTGAAAGTCATGGAGTGTTTTCCTCAGCTTTGGTGATCTATAGATTCTGCTATAGTTTTCTAGGAGTGAGTCCTATAAATGCAGAATAATCCTGTTCATTAAACATGCTGCAAACTTGAACCTCACCTCAATCCAGCTTCTTATGGAGAGGATTTTGTCCCATTATTGTTCTAAGCAAAAAATAAATTTTGTAAATTGAAATTTGAAAAAAATTAAATCAGGATATGAAATCTGTTTCAAGAGTTTTCACAGATTTGCATAAGTTAATCTCAAATTTGTACTTTTATTTACATCATTTATTTCTTCAAATTAAACATTTTACAAATATATATGCAAAATGCCGTTTAATTAATTAATTTATTTATTCATTCATTAAAAATTTTATTTTTGAAAATTCAGAAAACAAATATGTAAAATATGTTTTATTTATATATATATAATATGAAAAATAAATGTGAAAGACATCTGAAGAAATTTTTTTTTTTAAAACAGCAAAGTTAATCTCAAAACCTAAACCTAAAGTATCATTGCTGGGTTGCTCTTTTTCTCAATTTCAGTTTACAAATGTGATCTTTGTTTCGAGCAATAACAGAACACATTTCAATCCATAGATTTTAGGCACTTGTTCCGTCTTTATACAACTGTCACACAAATTTGGGGCCAAATGTTGAAAAATAAATGTCTAATACACGTTTCTATTTACTGGTTTGGAGTGAATTAACCAGACTTTCCAATGCAGACATTTCGTCAAAAGCCGACGTCCTGCATGGCTGCAATTACCGGTAACAGGAATTTGAGGTCAAAAACTAGCATGGACCACACATCTGAAAAAGAGTGAGGTTCTCAATTAGGGGTGTAAATCACATCCATCATGGCGATTCGATTCAGTATCGATTTCCTGACCCAACGATTCGATTGTTTTCGATACTCAAGAATACACCACGATTCGATTCGATTAATCGATTAATCGGTTAATTTTTTATTATTATTATTATTATTTTTTTTACACCTTACAGGGTAAACAAAGTTTCAAGTTTGAAATAAATCAATGAAAGCTGTAATATCATTATGCATTTTCTTTAGAAACAACAGCAAATAACAGAAGAAAAGTTGCATCAAAAAATACTGCAAAAATACTGCACAATCAGTGTAATGAGTTCAATGCAATACCTTGGCTCCAGAGAAACTGTCCAACATATTTTTTTAGAATGTAATAAATATACTCAGGAAAGAGAGATGTTGTGTAGAGAGTTAGACAGGAATAAAAATAAACTAGATATAAGGGTATTGTTTCAAAGGTCATCTGGGGATGTAGTTTTTGGTAGTATTTTTAATTTTTAAAGAAGAACGGGTATTTTAGGGAGAATATAATAGTTTGTCTGGTCCATACTCCATTCTGGAAGGTGGCGGTAATGCACCTATAAGTTGTTTGCCAACCGCCATTAAAAAAAAGAAGAAGAAGGCTCCAGAGTGTTGACGTCACCGCCCCCTTAAGAGACGCTCCGCTGCACCTCTCCCAGACTGTAGCTGACCGCAAACAGTGCACCAGTCAGGAGGCCGGCTTGTTTTGTTTTTATGACCGAAATTGCGGAAAACAACTCGTGAAGTTTGACCCGCTAGAAGAGCGAGGTGCGCGAGACCGCTAGGACCGCTAGGACCCTTTTTCCACCTGGATCTCCGCTCTTTTTGCCCCATTGTCGCTCCGTCGTCGGACTAAACTCGCCCCCACTTCCTCATCGCCTCGGCCGTATGTAGACCCACAGCGTGTAGCCCAGACCACGCTTCAATACTGAGCATAATTTAAAAATGTCTGTGTGAAGCTTGCTGCAACACACTGCTGTGAGAGTATAACCAGGAAGCGCGGTAGGAGGGTAAAATAGGTTTAGCGGCACCGCAGCACGGGAGGGAGAATTACGCCCAGGAGTAAATGGATAAAAATAGACCGGAGGAAAAAAAAAAAAATGAATCGATTATCTTGCGGACGTGTCGATGCATCGGATCGTCGGCTTTTGGATCGATGCATCGATACAAAACGATTATTATTTACACCCCTATTCTCAATCATGTGTTGCTATTCAGAAACTTGAAGGCGCAAGGTAATTCATAAAGCAAATTTCATTAACAACCTAATACAAACTGCTAAACATGTGCAAACATAACAGCAAACCAAAGAACAGTGGAAAAACAGGACAGATTATTAAGAGAAAGAAGTATCAAAGCTAATAAAATAATAAGAAAAGTAATATAAACTAAAATGGTTAATGATCAAATTAAACACATTTAGACCACTAACTTAAACTAATGTTTAGATGGCTCAGTTTAAGGCTGCTCTAAACAAATATGTTTTAATCTGGTTTTAAAGCCACTGAGAGTTTCTGCAGCTTTTAGGTTTTTTTGAGGAGTTTATTTCAGATTAGTAAAACATGGGAACTAAAAATGATTCTCTATGTTTGGTTCTAGTTCTGCAGAGCAGATCTGATCCAGTGAAGCTCAGAGGTCCGGTTGTTAAACCACTGCCAACTAGTCTGTAATATATTTTGGAGCTGATCTATTCAGTGATTTATAGACTAAAAAGGTATTTAAAGTCTATTCGCTGAGATAGAAGGAGTCACTGGAAGGACTTTAAAACTGGACTGATGTGCTCTACTTTCCTAGTTCTAGTGAGGATGCAGGCAGCAGAGCTCTGGATCAGCTGCAGCTGTCTGATCCACTTTCTAGGCAGATCTGATTTAAGGAGTGCAGATAAGGGGGGCAATTTTTCTTCACAGATGAATAAATGCACTGATATTAAAAGTTTGGATGTATTATTCCTGACTGAAATAATAAACATAGCTAATATTGTAGCTGCTCTACTTACGTCAGAGTCCTGATGCACTTGGCCGAGTCCCTGATGTCCCACACTTTGATGTATGAGGTGGAGACGGTGAAGACTAAGCTGGAGCTGTAGCGCACAGACACCACGTTGTTAGGGTGGCCTCCCAGAGACATTATCTCCTGACCCGTCACCAGATTCCACACTTTACAGGTCCGGTCTGCAAAAGGATCCACATGTGTCAAAGCTGCCATAGCTTAACATCAACAGAGGAAAAAAACTGCTTTAACAGGGTTTATACAGGAATGAATAACTCTAACTTAATGCTTTTTAATGCTCTTTTAATGCTTTAAGAAATAATTTTAATGCCACCAACAGGTCCCGTCGACAGGCTGCAGCCATGTTCCGAATTCCTCGTTTTCCAGCCATTTTTGTTGAAATTTGCTTTTTTCCCCCATTCTTTAGCCTTTTCTCCAACTCAAGCTTCTTTTCCGAACATATGTCATATAATATGTCTGACGAAATTGTTCTTATAATTTCTTTTTTTTTAAATAAAGCATTTCAAATACCACAATAAACACATTTAATGAATTTTAATGCCAATTACGGCATTTAAAAAAATAATAATTAAATGGGTTTTAATGATTTTTAATGACCCGCAGAAACCCTGTTTAAAAATGAATGTCAGAAGGTAATAAAAGTTCAATGGTGTCTCCTCAGAATGAGGGTTTTCCTTTTTAATCCCTGTCAGCCTTCATTTGGTTCTAACTAACTTAGCAACATGTCAGTCAGTAATAAATGCATGGACTGCTGATGAGGGATTTGAAATGTGGAGGCTGGATGGGGAAGCGGAAGCGTTAACCTTTGGATCCAGTGAACAGAAGGTCGTCGGTGCAGTCAACACACAGGACAGCTTTACCGTGTCCCTCCGCCACGTGAACGCACTGCAGCGTCGCCGAGCGGCTGCTCTTAGTGGACGGCACCGGGTTGATAACTCCCCTGGAAAAAAAGACACACATCTGTGAAGATCAGCAAACCGACAGCAGCATGGACTGACGATCAGAGAGGAGAGGAGGAAAATAAACCCATGAAAACATGCAAGGTAACAAAAACAAACTAAACTCCAAGAGTAAAAAACACAGAGCTGGAAAAAACAGATCATTATCTGCTGTGCTGAGAGGAAAGGGACTGAACACACCCAGGCTGGACGAGATTAAACACATTAGCTGGTTGAGTCTGGATCACTGCCACGAAAAGACACCATAGCAGAGAGAAAAGGAACCCTGCTTTAAGAGATATCAAACAAGGCGAAGCAATTAGAGGGAAACTTCACTGAAACATCTTTTTTACAGTTCCCTGTTTTACAGGGTAGTCTTTTATTATATAAGGTCTCTTTTCCACTAGTCCAGCTCCGTTCTGCTCAGTCTCACACACTCTTATCCAAACCTGTTGGTTTTCTATGAGTCAGCCCTTTTTTTAATCTTTTTTATCTGGAATCCCTTTTTTTTTTCACCCCCGACATGGAAAACCTTTGGTGTGATTGTCTGATTGAAGTCATTAAAACATTGCGCCCGTCTGTGTGTCGTTTGCAGGAAGCTGACATCACATGACCAAACACCACGTTTGTTAATACTAGCTTTGTTTTACTTATCAGACCAATATTGACATGCTTAAAAATTATTGATAATAATGCAAATATATTGTGCATCCCTTGTAAAATGTGACATTTTATTCTTTAAAAACCAAAAAGGACCACCATTGAGGGTTGTAATATGTAATATGTAGTAAAAAATTAGCTTTCAGTTTGAACAACTTCAGCTATTGTGGTCCTTAATACTTCTTTACTCAGCTTTTATCCACACTGAACGGTGTAATAAAATTACTCTGTTTGCTACCTTGACATATTGCTTTAATAACTCCCCATGGACCTGCTGATGGCCAGAGGAGGATAACCAAAATATAGTTCCAATGATCTTTTTTTTTTAATGGAGCAAAAAATAGAAAGTTGTCAAAAAAGAAATTACTCAGGTTAGATGACTAATCAAGCACACACTGTAAAAAATGGAAATCTAAATAAGTCTTTTTTTTCTTAAACTAAGTGCATTTGTTCTTGAATTGAGGAGGTAAAAGAGACATTTTGCCAATGGATCAAGACAATTGTACATTTAACATTAGAAAACAATTGGATTGTCTTATTTCAAATGCATAACATCTAATATCTTATTTTAAGAGTAAAAATACTCATTCCTTTGGCAAATCATCCCATTTACCTACTAAAATTAAGGGTAAATACAGTTGATTTAAGACATTTTTACTTATTTCTACATCATTTTTGCAGTGCAAGGTCATTTTTGGTTCATAACATGAAATTTAAGCTTTAAAATTATTTAATCAGACAGAATTATATGCAAATTCTGGTATTTTTCCATGTATATTAGAGATAACATGCATTACAGTAAGCGGGGGGGGGGGGGGGGGGGGGGGTACAGGGGATAAGGAGTGACTGACAGGAGGTGCTGGGCCTTTTTTTCAGGTTTCCCATTGATGAGCTTTGAGGGAAGGCAGCAGGACCGCCGCTTTAGCTGACGCATCGTTAAAGCTGTTCATTATCAGGAAAGAAGAGCAAAAGAAGACTGCAGAAGAACAGATGGGAAACACGTAAGAAGGGATAATGTTACATGGATCCAACATTAGGATGGGCTTTCAGTCAGCACTTGTTTATGAGACACACTTCCCGTTTTATTTAAAGTAAAAAAATAAAAATAAAAAACTATCAGGGAAATCTAACATATTCTTTAGCCTATTCTACATATTAATTGCTGGCGTACAAAGTTCAGGAACATTTTTGAGGTGCAAAACGAACATGTCTGCATGTTCTTCAATGACCTACCGGCTAATAAAAACCTGACTGAAGCCTAAACCCATTCAGATCTCAAATGTTTATTGCACACCAAGAAAAATATCAACGATGACGAATAAGAAATTGGCCCTGAGAGAAGGTCGCAGACAGCTGAAGGCTGGTGCATGTGTAAATGTCATGTTGCAGCCTGGAGGCTTTCTCAAGGCTGGGGTCCTGCTAGCTTAGTGGTCAAAACAAAACAGAAAAAAAAAAGATTTAACTGCATCAATCTGGCCTCAGCAACAACTGGACTGGATCCTTTAATTAACCATCTGGAAGTCAGAGAAAGTTAAAACAACGCATCTTCTGCAAAGCAGTAAAACATTTTCCTGTATTTTCCTCCTCTGGTCTTTCTATGTGGTAAAAAAAAGCAAAGCTAGCTACATTTAACACTGACTAATGAGCCTGAGTGAGAGTGTTAAATGTCATCTCCTCTGCAGAAATCAGTGATATTCAACCATCAGATCCTTCATTGGAAGAAGAACCAAAGCTTTTTAGAGCCTACATTTGTTGCAGGCACATTGATACAGACTTTTCCTAAGTTCTGTGATTGTATACCCAGTGTGTTAAGTAGGTTTTCTGGCACATCTATGTGAGCTGTGTCAAGAAGGTTTGCTGCTCTCTCCTGGTAGCGCTTCCCGATGCTAGAGGCGCTACCAGAGGAGAGGCCAGTACCCCAGGAGACGTGCAGGTGGCTGTAAGAGAAGGACCAGGAGGAGCACTGCTAGAGGTCTGCAAAATGACCTCCAGCATGCCATAAATGTGCATGTGTCTGCACAAACGGTAAGAAACCAACTCCATGAAGATGGAATGAGGGCCTGACATCCAGAGATGGAGGTTGTGCTTACAGCCCAACGCCGTGCAGGACGCTTGGCATTTGCCATAAAACACCTGAATTGGCAAATATGGCCCTGGCGCCCTGTGGTCTTCTCAGATGAAAGCAGGTTCATGCTAAGCGCATGTGACAGATTTGATGGAGTCTAAAGACATGGTGAGAGCGATCTGCAGCCTGCAACATCCTTCAGCATGACATGGCATTTCTTTGGAGGGCTGCACAGTGCTCCATGAGCTCACCAAAGGAAGGTCGTTTACTTATTTAACTTTAAGTCACACTTTCAAATGTCTCATCACAAACAAGGCTGTGCACACTGTGCTGTGGATTTTTGTTGACTGATATCAGGCAGTTTCTATTTCCGGTTGGTGGATTGAGCATCGAAACTAAGAATCAAAAATAAAAAAAATTGATAGTTTCCGGGAGAAATTGAAAGGTTTGAACTTGTTCTGATGGGTCATTGATGCCCAACCCTAAGGACATGTAGACAGGAAAATAACACATTTATTTATAAATATCAAGACAATAAAGTTATGGGTCAATAAAATGGTTTGTAATTAAAAAGGTAGTCTCATAAAATCCAAATTGAGTAAAATTAAGGATTGTGTTTTCAGCTTGAAAAAAATTAAATCTCACAAAGGTTCTAGTGGGTAAAAAGGGTTGCAAAGAGAAAGACTAACAAAGGTCAATTCCTCCCAAAGGGAAAAATATTGATCCGAAAGGAGAACCAGAGGCGGAAAGGTAGCTAATTAAAGAAATATTATGAATCAAAGAAGAGCCATAATATGAAGGTTAGAGAGCAAAGCCTTTCGAAACCCAGGAAACACTTCATGCTTCTCAGAAGCAGGATATGGACAGAAGTATTAGTAGAGTTAATGTTCTGTAGTTTCCCTTTTTTAAGGCTTTGCAGCCAAAATGCTGGCAACAAACTCTTACTGTTTCATCTCCTTGACCTTTGCCCTGTCAGCCGCTGCTTGCGCCTTGTCATAGGTCTTCCTGCGAGAGAGTGGGGACGGCTCTGGGGTTCGCTTCCCAAAACCCGAAACGGTTCTGGAGCCAGAACTGAGCGTTCGATTTGATGCAATATTCAGAAACACAAAGACAGCACCACAAGAATGTTTACTAATGAAAAATCTAAGAAACTAAAAATCCAAACAACATGGAGATGTGCATGCAGGGAACACAGAAACACTGTTACCTGATTCAGTAAGGCCCGATAGAACAGAGGCTCCTTGCCAAGCCCAAGTTTACTAATGAAAACACTTCAGATTTCTTGTCGTAATACAGGAAACAATCGTGTTTCTAGCAGCGTGTGCATTTCCTTAGACAGCATTATGAAGCGCATGGGCACTGGTTTGAGGCGGGCTTAAAAGGAGGGAGCATTCTGGTTAGTATTTTCCTAAGAGATGCACCGTAGACCTACAGTATAGGACCAATGATTAAAAACTTTTTTTAATCCTTTATCCTGACCTTGTCTCATTAAAGGAAAACACAATTCTTAGAAATTACCAATCATTATGATGTCATTGGTATGACTGATCTTACAGAAAGAAATAAGGAAATGCATCATTCAGCATATGGCAAAGGTTAAAGGTAAAACCTAAGCATGAATCATCATCTACATGGTGATTAGAAGTCTTGATTTTCATTAATGGGATACATCATAAATCCAACAGGACAGATCTTCAGTAGTCTTTGTTTTGGATAATTATTGTTTTTAAGAGCTCAAGAAAAACTATGTTCTTCTGAGAAATATAGAAGCCTCTGGGAATATTTTAATAATTAATCTTTAAATAAAAGGTATTTGACAAGATCAATCAGATTTATGTACATAATGTTCATTTTTTCTAATCCACAATATGAAGCATAAATTAAATATTTAAGGCTGGATCCTGAATGTTTGCTCTGATTTTGTTTATTTAATCTTTAAGGAACCACAGCAGTTGTACTGTGGCTACAGACATATAAAGATAAGTGATTTATTCATCTACTAATACACCTTCAGTAGAGTTAAACAAAATTATCTTGTTTTGAAAGTAAGCTTTGATTTCAGCCAAGATTTACTGAATACTAGGGCTGAAACAATCGGATAACTCAAAATTAATAGATAATTTAAAAATTGTCAACTAATTACCAATTGATTAAACATTAACTGCTGTATAGAGACTAAAACATGCCTTTAGCTGATAGAGCGACCCACTTAAAGCACTTATTATACCAAAATTGTAAAAAAAAATATATAAACATTTTGCATTTAAGATGAAACAAATCTTTTTCATCTGTCAATTCGCTCTATCCAGAACACCTCAAGTGGAAACATTTTAATTTCACCTGTTTTAATTTCATAAAAAAATATTCTTTAAGGAACCTATTTTTTGTCGATTAATTGATATAATAATCAAAAGATTAATCGATTTACAAAATAATAATTAGTCACAACCCTACTGAATAAAAAAGAAAGGTCTTAAATAAGCGAAACCTGAATGTTTGGATTTTATCTGAATGAGTTATGCGTTTAATTTCCATGCAGCTGAAGCTGTAAAGCAGAGAACCAGGATTCTGAGGCCTTCCCCTGGAGAACGAGGGACGACCGGCTGGTCGGCTGAGAGCTGCCCAGGCCAGCTTGTGCTGAGAAATACTAAATCATTTTTAAATGAGGTGGAATCTCATAAAAGTAAATATTTACATTCAGCAGACCTTCATCCATCCCTAAAAACATTAAAAGCTTTTTTGGGTCCAATAGAGTGTATTATTTCAATTTTTATTCACAATCTGTTTTGGCTCGCATTGAACCATGGGAAATGATGGGACTAATAGGATATTCCTGATGGATCCTTCAGTTCGGCCTAATGTCCCGTTTGACAGAATCTTTGAAGGATTTGTGGATTGGTTAATCCTTCTGCGCAGCGCTGTGACATAATCAGTCTATGGATGTAGCTTTCAGTGGATGCAGCCCATGAATTGCGACACACTGTGCTGCCTAAACTGCAGTACCTCCGCAACCCACTAGGTGACTAAGCCCTCAGCTACAGACCTCTGTGCTTAAAGCTGAAGTCTGTAAGTTTTTAAAAATCACTTTTTTGTCATATTGGCTAAAACTGTCCCTATGCCCAGACAGCAGTACATGTGATATGTAACCTGTGAAAAAAACTGCTTCAATTGGTCCCGCATACTGCCTGTATTTCAATCTGGAAAGAATAATTCGGGACGAGTCAAAACAACCAATCACAGCCAGAGCAGCGTCTGATGGAGTGTCAATCACAGCCCCCCCTCACCGCTTAACCTGCCGCTGCCGCCCGGCTGCCGCAGTCAGGAGGATGCGCGTGGAAGTCATGGCGGAGCGACAGCCACCAGCGAAAGAGAAACTACCCTTACTGCCCCTGCCGACAACTGCTTACACGGCAAACTTCGGTATAACCAGCATCTTATATCTAGCTGCTTGAAGGTGAGTGTTATCGCTCTTACAGGTTCACACTCCATGCTGCGTACGCTGCTTGGACGCTTCTGGTCGCATGCGGTAGCCGCGCAGTTGCTGTGAGAGGGGTGGAGCTTGGAGGTGGGGCATGAGTGAAGCAGAGAGGGTGGGGGAGTGGCGTGAAACCTGTTTTTCTTCAAATTTTCAGTCGAAGTCTGCTCTCTTCTCAATGTTACAGACTGCAGCTTTAACGCCAACAAAAGCTAAAAACAAAATTTTAAGCTTTATCCTGTCTTTTTCTTCTACATTTCAATCAATAATTCAATTTATGTGAGATATATAGTCAAATACAGTGGTTAATTATTTTCAAATGATCTTGCATAAAATTTTGGGGAACTTTGCACTATTTGTATATTTTCAGCTCAAACCTTGATAATAAATCAGCTTTAAACATCTACTGGTGCATCTCTTTTTTTTTTTTATTAATTCATTAATTTTTTTTGCTGTATTAGTTTCGATAAAGCAATTATATGGAGAGAATTTTGGTCCATTATTGTTTCAAGTAAAGAACATTCTGTAAATTTTGAAGAAAAAAAACATGCAATCTAAAAATGATTTTAAAAAATAAAAATAAAAAAAAGATTTTGGGAGTAACTTTGCTCTTTTCTGAGATTTTTTCCCCCTTATGTTTTTATAGACTTTATATTTTCTTTTTTTTTTATGTTATATCTTATTTACTTTTTCCAAATTTTAGATTTTCAGATTTGGTTTTAGAAAAAGCATTAATTTTAAATACAATTACTTCACATCCTCTTCACTTTGAGCCAAATAGAAATGGACGCTCTTGATGCACAATGACCAATAAAATGTTATCTGTCATGCAGAAACTCATCTATGATCCAAAGGAAAGCCCGCAACCAGAAAAGTGCAACTAGAGAAGACTGCAATTCATATAATTTAATCTGAAAAAGAGAAATAGAAAATGCTAATATTAAATCTATGAAAATATATAACATGAAACACAAAGATTGTAAATTTTTAAATCCATAAAACATATGAATTTTTGTTTTTTAAAAACAAGATTTGAGAAAACAGCAAAGTTACTCTCAAAACAATTTGTTGATGAAAACGTTGATCAAAGTTTCATTTCTGGATTACAGTTTTTTCAAATTTCAATGTACAAGATGTGTTTTTATTATATTTCATTTCCGTTCACAAAATGTGTTATTTGCTTGCAACAACGATGGCACAAGGTTACTCCCATACACCAAGAAAAATAAGCCATGTCTGCAGGACAAGCTGTTGTTTTTCAGAAGCATGCCGACCAAAAGATGAAAGCCGCTGCAGGCTCCAACATGCAGCAGAGAAACATGTCAGGGTTAAACTGTTTGTGAAAGAGTGCTGGGCTCAGACTTACATGCTGCCCATTTTAGAAGAAAAGCCAGGGGAAAGAGCCGTGTAGTCTCTGACTGATGGGCCTGACAAGTCAATATCAAGTCCTCCTCCATCTGGAGTTTCAGCCAAAGGCAGCATCGGAGTGGAGAAGTCAGCGGGAGCATCGGGGGCCGAGTCACTGTTTGCATACAGAAGCTCCATCTGAGTAGTGGTCCTCCTGCGGGCCTGTGCAGCAAAGTTTCAGAAAAAAAGGCTTAACCCTAAATTACACATCTGTACATGAGCAACAGTCAGACATCAACACGAACACCGAAGCATACCTTGCTTCTTGATTTGGTCTCCCCACAAAGTTTCATAAGGTCGGATGCTAATGTTCTATAGAGGAAAAACAATAAGGAGGAGAAACACTCTTAAAAAATGAAGGAGGAACTCATACAATATACACCAGCAGGAACTCCAACATGAAAAATCCATTACACAGAAAATAGAGACACACTTTATGGATGCATTAATATAAATACAAAGTATTGACATCAAAGAGGAAATGAAAAAAAAAACAGGCATTAGGAAGAGACGAAGAACCCTAAAAATAAGTTGCGATGAAGCTCTAACTTACGTTCCTTCTGCTGAGGGGCTTTGGGCAGACTCGTCACTGCTGCTATCGTCCCCATTTTCTATCAAATGAGATCAGAGAAAAACATCAGAGCTGAGTGATTCCCATCATCATCACTGATCACAGTCTTTCTTGGTAGGAAAAACATTTCTGGACATTTTTTTTTTACATCGCATCATTCATCAAGTTCAAGGTTCATTTGTTTTAGTTGCTGAGTTATTATTGCTACGTCACAACAAACCTGTTTATCTTAGTACTTCAATTCATATCGATTCATCACAAAAGGAGTGATACATGTTAAGTGTTATTTCCTGTTTATTTTGACAATCATAGCAGATATCAGTCAAGCTGACAAGAAAGGTAAAGTGCTAAATATTCTAGGGGGGGTTTCTCTATTATTCTCTCTCAAAATGTCTTGGCTGATAATCTTCTTTTTCTAGTATAGGATGCTGCTTTTCTGGAAGGACTTCTGTGGACAATGGCAGGATAAATATACAAAATGTGCATTTTTTTTAAACTGTAGTAATAATAATCTGTCGACTTTTTCCCCTATTTTGTCAGCTGCTCTACCAGAGAAAACGAAACCGTGGATCGTACACCTCATGACAAACATGCACTCCACATTATGGAGTGAATTTTGGTTCATTATTGTTGCAGCAAACAATTTAGAAAATTGAACTTAAAAAAAACAAACAAAAAAAAAAAACACACACACAAAAAAAAAAAAATATATATAAATATATAAATATATATATATATATATATATATATATATATATAGGTCCAGCAGCACATCGGTGCTGCTGGACCAATCGCTACTATCTGCCAAAGGTGGAACGCTACATTAGCCTTTTGACTGTTCAGTGTCCTGGCTGAACGGAGGAAGAACAAACATTGACCAACATTTATGGACAAAAAATCCATGTTAAAATTAGTCGGAGGAAAAAGGAACACATTTTTTTGAGAAACAGACATTTAGATTTGATATTCATTGTATTAAATCAATAAATAAATCACTCCTAGTGTAATGAGTCATTAAGATATACATTTCCCCTTTCCTCACTAAAATAGATCATCAGTGAAACTGGTAAATCTTCATAAGTTAGGATTCTTGCTGGTTCCACTGTGCAGGAAAAGATAAGCAGTCTCAAATCAGAGATTTAATCCCAAATGTGTGAGCGTTAGGTTTAAGGCAGGAGCTCAGGAGGTTGATGGGTGTGAGGAACTGTCAGGGTCTTTTCTCCTGATGGTGAGAGAGAGCTTTCCCTGTAAAAGTTATTCCTGTAAAAGTGTCTTGGGGTTAGCAGGTACTAAAGCATGGAGGCTGTAGCACATATGAGCTGGAATGGTATAGAGTGAATGTTGTTCAATTATTGTTGCAGGCAAAGAACGAGTTTGTAAATGAAAATGTGCATAAATATGTTTTATAAATGGAAATTTATAAAAGAATGCAATCCAGGAAGGAAACTCTGATTCTATTCTTAACTTTTTTTTTTCCATTTTATCTTATACATCTTTTTTCTACATTTATTAACCGACTTTATATTTCCAGATATATTTTCAGATTTCCATTTTTAGACTGATTTTAACAAATTGCATTCTTTTAAAAGTCAGTTTTATAGATCACATTCTTTTCACTTTGAGCCCAATTTAATGCTGAATCGTCAAGATCAGGTGTTCATTGGTAAACAATGAAATGTTTTTGCCAACATCGAACCAATAGAAATAAGTCTTCTCTTGGTTTTTCCAAAAGCCCGACATCAGAAGTGAAGTGAATGCGATCTGGAAAAATACAGTTTGAAGAAATATACAATTCGTAAAAGTCAATATAAGAAATAAAAAACAACAAAAAACTAATTGTACACAAACTTTGAAATATAAAGTTTTACAAAATTGAAATTTGAAAAAAAAAAAGTAGGAAAATAAAATCATTTGTAAAAATATAAGAGAAGAACAAAATGACTCTGAAAAGATTTGTTTTCAATTTTGGTTACTGGATTGCAGTATTTTTTGAATTTCCATTTACTAAACACGGTTTTTTTTTTTTTTTTTTTTTTTTTGTTATTCACAAAACATTTTCTTTGCTTTTAAAACAATAATGGAACATAATTCACTCCATAACGAAGGAAACAAGGTAAGGGCTTGTGAATTAAGGAGTAGGGGAAGGGGTCAGCTGGCAGCTGAAGGGAAGCTTGGCTGCACTGCACCTCATGCACCTGCTTCTCTTATGTTTAGTTGGTTAAAAAAAGTGCAAAAAGTTAGAAACCATGCATATATAAGGAGCATTAGGGTCTAATGGGATTTGACTTACCAATGGGGATGTTACCTAGCTCTGTGAAAACATAGAGCAAAAAGAAAATATGGGGGGAAAACAAAAACGCACAAAATCAAAAAACAATCCCCCAGTTTAAAACAAAAAAGAAGTTTCATGAACAAGAGTGACTAAAGTAAAGATAGCATACTACTGAACAGGCTGGATAAAAAATGATGGGTAAAAGCAGTGCAGAAACATTTCACTGCTCTAATGCGACCATGTTGACATTAAAAATCCAGCTTCTGTTCAGCAGAAGGCTACAGGCACGGCATCTCTCCAAGGGTTCAAACATGCAGCTGACAGGGAAACCAATCCTCTTCCTAAACAAACAGAAACCTTAATACAATGTGAACCCAGTGTAGCCAAACTAACCAGAGAAATAAAAAAATCAGCTTCCTGTTTTCTAAGATGAAATCCATTTCAGAAAGATGCCCCGATTAGAAACGAGGATTTGGTCTGGATAGTAGTTTCTACCTTGAAGAGCATTTCCCAGCAAAGCATCCAGCTCTGGGTTGAACTCGGCCTTCTCCTTCAGCATATGAAACAGCAGCTGGTTCTGTGTGGCGCTGGTGATTTCCGTCTGCTTCAACCGGCCCTCCATCACTTTCACCTGAGACTCCCTCTGAGCTGCCTGCAGACCCTGAAAAGATCCCATCCTTTGCGTTACCCAGCATTCTGATTTACCTTTCATGACCATTGAAGTCTGCATTAAAAACCACTGCTAAAAATTAGAATCAATTTTAATTCTATTTTAAATTCCTAAAAAAAAATCACAATTTCCTTCCCGCTAATCCGAAATCCTTCTTTGATGACTGAGAGGCACATAGGATGTTCATGTCCTGAAGGAGGTCAGGTATGGAGTGAAATTTGCAAGTGAAAAAAAAACCTTACTTTGCAAATTAAAATGTGAAAAAAAAAGAAAAAAAAATGTCATCCAAAAATTTCATTTTCTCAGATTTAGTTTTAGGATAATTTCATTTTTTAATAATATGTTTTTGATGTTTATCCAAGTTACTTTTATTTTTACGGATTTTATATTTTACATTTTTATAAATTCCTCCTTTTCAAATTGACTTTTGCAAATTGCATTTTTTTTCCAAACTGGTTTTGCAGGTCATTCTCTTCAAGCCAAAAAAATAGAAATGCATTTTCACTTCAGAGGAAAGCCCGAAGAAGTGAAGCGAATGTGATCTGTTTGAAAAGAATTGTACTAATAAAACTTAATCTGTCAAAGAGAAATTTGAAAATAAAAAAAATAAATATAGACTCTACATTTAAGAAAGAAATCTTGAAAAATAATAAATAAAAACAAATAATCTGAGAAAACAACAGTTACTCTCAAAATTTTTTATTTTTGTTAAACTTTTAAATACCGATTACTTTTTAAAAAATTTCACAAAATCTGTTTTTTGTTTGCAAATATAACAAAATTCACCCAAGTTCTGCTGCATTCATTTATCCACAGACCTCTAATTTACCTGCGTGACCTAATCTCCAAGGTAAATACGCTTGTATACCCCCATATCCATGGTTCTATGGCTACTTTTACAATCATAACAATGATAAAAACATTATTCTATATGGTAATCTGTACGTATACAGTTATCATTGGCTAAACACAGACTTTCCAACTCCAAATTTGACTTTTTGTGGTGTTCAAGGTTAAAATCTTAACTTTCTAAGACAAATGCAGCACCCTTACAGCCCATCTGTCCAGAAGATTTCTTCTGATTTTTTGTGTTTGTGAAACATGAATGTTACAAGATCACAAGATGTTACAAGATTAAAGATCAACCAGTCTTTAAATAAAAACTCTCCCCAAAGTAAAATCAAAATCCCACCCAGATTAATTTAGTTTATTAGAGGGTTAAGTGGGCATCTAGCCTCTGCTGACTGGCAGCAGGGTGCTTTGTGTTAGCCTCTTCGCTAAATTAACCCCCTACTATTCTTTTGTTCATTCTATTTTTTGTTATGGGTTCATGTCCCCTCCTTGGCACTAATTTTTGAGTGTTAGAAAATAAGATCCGACCATCGATCGGCTGGAGAATCCGTCTATAGCTCTGCCTTCAAAGGTAGCGCCCTCTGTCTGCTGGCCGAGGGGGGTTGTGTTCTAGTGCAAGCGAGTTTGTGACTCAGAAAGAGTCTGAGTTGATTATAGTATGACGTGCACGCAGTTTAATTGGCAGAGTGAGCAATAGCGTTAATTTTTAAAAACTGCATTATTTTGACTCCGGACTATGTGCAGGGTCATGTGTTTGATGGGATGGTTTTATGGTGTGATTGACTTTTTAGTCAATTAGATCAACTTTTTAGACTAATTACTCCGAATGTTACATAGAACAAGGGAGAACGTCCAGCAGCTCGCTGCTCCCCAAGGGGATGGATTAAATGCAGAGAGCACAACTTTATCTGAAATGATGCAAAGATGTAGCAATATGTACCGTTTTAATCGTGCGGGAAATACAACACAATACAATACCCCATTTCAACCTATAGAGGGCAGCACAAAGAGTTTCAGGCCCAATAATGAAGAACTAAACTTTACACTAAAGCTATAGCCTCCTCTCGTCCTAATTTACTTAAAGTTAATGAGTGCGGCAGCGTACATGCGTCAACTGATCACATGTCAGGTTTCCTCTGTCAGGATGATGAAGGGTACCTTGTTAATCGCCATGGACATGAAATGATCCAGCAGGAAACGAGCTTCAGCCAGAGTGCAAGATCCAATCACAGCAGAGACGTCCACCGTGTCGCCTTCCTCCTGCAAACATGTTCAATATTAATATTTCTGATTTTTTTCCTTTCTAAATTATCTTTTTTAAGCTAATTATGTCTAATATAAAATAATAAAAATCTTTTTATTTTTCACTGAATACAATCCATTTTTAAAGAGAAAAAAAAAATTTGGATTCAGATTAACTTCATTTATCCCTTTGGTGGATACTTCTGAGAAATATTTTAGAAACACCAATTCAGCGCTGACAGACGCAATCACATATATAGGACCATAAATAAACTTAAGACCAAGAAAACATAAAAATAACTTAAAAGTTGTACAAGTTGTCCAACAGGGAAAGAAACACAGCATTGAAGTAGTTATAATGAATATATATATATATATATATATATATATATATATATATATATATATATATATATATATATATATATATATATATATATATATATATATATATATATATAAAAAATAATGGATTGTAATTATTTTAAATGATCCGCAGAAACCCTGGATAATTTCCGTATGTTTTGCTGCTTTGAATTTAATCATTTGGCGCATTCTCTCTACGATCTCCAAGGGACTCAGAGGGGAGCAGACGAAGCCACAGTGGAGGCTGTAGGCTTTGCTTTGAGCAGCCGGTCTGGAGCGCAGGGGGGCGGAGCGGGGGTTGCTGACGGAGTATGAGGGATTTCGGGGTTAGCATGACATGTTGCTGTTAGCATAAACAAAACGTGTTGCACAATGCTTGCACACTGTTGCACTTTTATCCACAACTTTCTTTCCGCCGTCATCGTAGGTCACTCTAAATGCAAAGCGCTCCCATTCAGCAGACCTATAAAGTGCTGCTGGCGCGTCTTCCAACTCCTGTTCTTTCCCACTCGCCAGTCCGACACAATTCTCCACAACAACTGTTTTTTTTCCCCTGCTCTTCTTCTTCTTGTTTACTACTGGCGGTTGGCTTTGGTCGCAGCACTGCCACCTTCTGCTCTGGAGTGTAATGGCTTCCTCTATGAGAAAAAGGAGCAGCGCATGAACCGAACGAAACACACGCGAACCGAACCGAGACAGTCGAACGGAACGATTCTGACGGTTTTCATAAATCGTCCCATCCCTAATATATATATATATATATATATATATATATATATATATATATTTATATTAAGGGTGGAACGGTTCACAAAATCCATGGTTCGGTTCGGTTCACGGTTTCGTGGTCACGGTTTTCGGTTAGGTTCGATACACCGAAAAATAAAAAAATAAAAAAAATTAATGAAAAAATTAAAATTAATGAAAAAATCCCAAAAAATTAATGAATTGTAATTATTTTTAATGATTCGCGGAAACCCTGGATCATTTTTTGCATGTTTTGCTGCTTTGAATTTAATCATCTCGCACATGCCCTCTACGATCTACAAGGAACTCAGAGCGGAGCGGACGGGAGCCACAGCTGAGGCTGTAGGCTTTGCTTTGTGCAGGCGGTCTGGAGCGCAGCGGGGCGGAGCGCCGATGGAGTATGTGGGATTTCGGGGTTAGCATGACATGTTGGTCATGTTGCTGTTAGCATAAACAAAACGGGTTGCACAATGCTTGCACACTGTTGCACTTTTATCCACAACTTTCTTTCCGCCGTCATCGCTGGTCACTCTAAATGCAAAGTGGTCCCATACAGCAGACCTATAAAGTGCTGCTGGCACGTCTTCCAACTCCTGTTCTTTCCCACTCGCCATTCCGACACAATTCTCTACAAAAACTGATTTTTTTCTGCTACGCTGCTTCGCTTCTTCTTCTTGTTTACTACTGGTGGTTGGCTTTGGTCGCATTACTGCCACCTTCTGCTCTGGAGTGTAAACGCTTCACCTATGAGAAAAAAGGAGCAGCGCATGAACCGAACCCCAACGGTTCGGACGGTTTTCATAAACCGTTCCATCCCTAATATATATATATATATATATATATATATATATATATATATATATATATATATATATGAATAGGTATAAATAAATAAACAAGCATAAATATATGCATTTAATCTTTTTCTGTTAAAACAAAAACTTACTTTTTCCCTATAGTGAAATTTTCTAAGCAAAAATGGCACATGTATGCCAGACGTCAAAATTAGAAAATACAGTCAGAATAATCAGCTAATTATGACATTAAATCTCAATAGTGCTTTTCATTGTCAGATTATCAGCTATAATGTCATAATTATTATTATGAGATAAGAATCATATTAAGCATATTTCACAAATACTCCAAAATTAAAATGAAACAATGTTCATACTCCAGGCATTTGGTTTTCAGGTGTTCGCACATACAGCTAAAGCTGCAGTTGTGCTTTAAATTTACATAACCTTCATTTAAAGACAGAAAAAAATCAAATGCCAGTAAAATAAAATTAAATTGACAAAAAAAAAAAAAATTTTAAAAAAGCAAATCATGAAAACAAATCATAAACAATTTTTGCTCTCAGTCAAACAGCCAAAGCATGCTGCTACCACCACTATGCTTTACAGCCTGTTCTCAGGCTAGAAGGCCTCATGTCAACTCCTCCCAACATGCTTCTATCCCGCAGCCGGCCTCACCTTGGTTTCCTCCATCTGCATGATGTTGGCTTGACAGTCCGCAATGCTGTCGTTAATGTAATCGATGTTGGCGGTCAGCGCGTCCACTTCCTCATTGAGGGGAAGCACCGTCTTCTCGGCCTCCAGTCCCTCTCTCAGGAGCCTGTCCCTCTTCCTGATGACCTTCTCCTTACGCTTCGTCAGCTCCTCCCTTTGCTGCGTGTTGGAAACATTAACCAGAGTTAACTCAGCTGTGATAGAATAGCTTTTTTTTAAAGTGTATTTAAATGTCTATTTTTTTTGCTTTGCATTCCGTCTTCACCTTAAGGAGACGGTTCATGTCGGCCTCCATGTTGGAGATGGTCATCCTCTGCATTATGACGTCAGAAATTCGCCGCTCCAGGGTCTGCCATTTATTACGAGCGACCCTGGTGGAATAAACACCAGCTGTGCGCCTGTAAGACGACCTGGATCACAAGGCATCATTGGTGTTAGTCATTCAAAACCTATGCAGTGTTAAGCTGCATCTCTCTTCTCCCCTCTGTGTGGCAGGAAGCCCACTTTAAGCATACTACTGCCCCCTAAAGGGCTGCAATGACAAATTTAGTTACTTACTCTTGTTTAATGAAATGTGACCCAAACCAAGGGCCTCTGTGAGTTGAAAATGGCTAATTGTTTGATTGACATTGTGGACCAACATGGAACATTGAAAATTGTTGTTTACATATGATTGTATCAATGTTTATTACACATTTGAGGTTTTGATAGAATTCTGACATCTTATGACCTGCAGAGATTAGATTACATACAGACTGAATCTTACTACTTTGACCAGGAGTGGCCAATCTGTGGCCCTATATATAATATATATAAATATAGATATATTTATTTTAAATTTATATTTTTTTCTTTAGCCCATGACTTTGAATTGAAAACATTTGCCCATATGACAAAAACTTTGGACACCCCTCACATGGGCAATAATTTTCTCTATAGGCATCAGATTAAAAATAAAAAAAAATTATGTAGAAATATTTGCTTTGTTTAACTTAAAGAAAAAGGAAAGTCTCTGATTTCTTTTTTTGTAACTCCACATTCACACAGTATTTTGCGATTACTTGTCACATCAATTAGAATTTGCAACATGATAAAAAATATGAAAAAGCTAGAAGGTCTCGACTGAACTCTGCATGACCCACATAGTGAATATTCGCTTCAGTTCCATCTAGTAAACAGCCTTTATAGCCTTACCATGTGCCGTTGGAAGCAGTGTTGCTGGAAGAATACATGCGTCCAGATGGAGAGCGGTGAGTCGGGTCCTGGGCGGACTCTGGGAGGTTGACTTTCCGAACCACTTTGCCCGAAGTGGGTCTGACTTGCCTTCTCAGAGCAGTCACCTGACACACACACATAACACATCTGTAAACTCATGTCTTGTCAGCAAAAGGCAGTACAAAGTACCACCAGCAGGGGCACCGCTTTTGCTCTGGATAAAAACTTGGTGTCTTTACTTCAAAGATTCCAAATAAGATGCACTAAACTGCCTGTGCTTTTTTTTGCATGTGCAATAAGTGGATGTGTTGTAGGGGATCTACATGGGTTGTTGTGTAAATGTTATGCAAACCAGTTTGCCTGGGCCCATTAAAATGAGCAGAGTGTACTAGCAGGTACTATCATGAGGGCGACACTAGCTTGATGGCGGCACTAGCTTGATGGCAGCACTAGCTTGATGGCGGCATTAGCATGATGGCAGCATTAGCTTCTCACCTCCTCCGTCTTTCTCCTCAGAATGAGCTCCTGCTGCTTTTTCTGAGCCTCCAGTAACTTCAGCTGATGCTGAAGAAAGAAAACAGTAATGATGTTAAGATCAACTGAAACTCTTCCATCGTTTTGTGCAGCAGAATTTTAAAAAGTCTGACCTCTTGCTTTCGCTGGTCCTTTTTCAAAGAGGCTATTTCTCTGTTCCTGCGCGACTCATTCAGCCGGTTTTTCTCCTGCTGCTCCTTCATTTGCTTCATAAGACGAACCTGAATCCATAAAAAAAAAAAAAAATAAATAATAAAAAAACACGAAGGGTTTACAGCAATTTCAACAACAAAATCTACACGCACAAAAAACAAGCGGTACCTTTGTTTTCTTCATTTCCGTCACATCCAGCTGCAGCTTCTTCAGCTGTTTCTCATAATGTGATTGGTTCTTCAGCAGGCGGGCGTGTTCCTTCTGAGCAGACTGCAGCTTCTGGAGCTCCTTGTTCATCACGCTCAGCTTCTTTTCATATTCGGCTTTCATTTTACGAGCCTTGTCCTCAGTACCGCTTTCCACAGAACCTTAAAATGCCCAAACAAGAAGGTGAGGAACAAAAAGCAGTCAGCCCTTTTTAAAAAGAGCCATCACTTCTTTCAATCCAGGAATATTTGATCTATTTGTGTTTATAAACCCTAAATATAAACCATCACAGTCCTCTGAAAAAACGAACAGGAGTTATTTAAAACATGAAACATGTCCGGAGGATATAAATTCATCCAAGTAAAACTGTATACATTTTAAATAGACTGCTCTCCATCACTGATAACATACAATTAATTATGTGTGCGCCATCTAGTGGGCGGTTTTAGAAGGACGGCTCTTACTCATGTTGTGAAGCACTCGATCCCTCTCCAGCTGCGTATCCCTGATCTTGCACTGCAGCATCATCAGCTTCTGCTCGTACTGCTGTTTGAGCGTGTGCAGACGCCGCTGGCTGTTCTCCAGCTCGTCGATGAGCTTCTGCTTGATGGCAATCTCACACGTGATGTTGGCCAGATCCGCCTGATAGTTCTCTGTCAGACAGAGGAACGTATTAAGAGTAGTTAGTTTCAATTTTTAAAATGCTGCCCAATGTTTTTTTTTTTCAAAAAGATATCCGCAGCATGGTGTCTCTACTGGTCTTAGGTACAAATCCCAGTCTGGTTTCTCACATAGCACATAAAAATAATAGATGTGCTGCACAGTTCAACGAAATAAAACAAGACAAAAAGGACCACAACAATACATTTAGAGAAATAAATTCAAACTCAAACAAATAAACTCCATATTTATCATTATAACAGAAAATCAAACTATTTTTCAATAGAAGTCTTGACAGTTTCAGCTATTTTTACACAAAACATGTCAATCATCCCAGAGTTTAAGAGCAAAAACCTCAATCAATCACTTCAGAGTTTTAACCTTGATCTTGAAAAAAATCTAAGGTAGAATGAAGCTGTTACTGAAATGTAAAGTTTGAGAAGATCACAGGGATAGGAAAGGGCAAAAAAATGTAAGATTTCAGAAAACAAATAGGAAGCAAAAACCAGAGATATGTGGTCTAGTACTTTAGTACCTGGTAAAAGATAAGCTGCTGCAATAATGGAAGTAAAGAGTGATGGGAATCACGTTAAGGTCTTTGGAAGACATGATTTGAATATTATATTTATCTGCTTGTCAAGTTCAAATGCAAAATCTAAAACAAAACCTACATTTCTGTCCATATAATCAGTATATCTCCCTGCATGAATTATAATAAAGTTATTTACATGCATAAATCAAGCGGAACACTATGGCGATAGAACTACTGCTCCACTTGAGAAAGTAAAATCTGTTAGGCTTTCTTTGGCGTCAAGACAATTATTCTTATTGCCACATCACCAGACAGGACACTGTTAAAAAAAAGAAAAAGTAAAAAATCAAATAAAACCCACATTTCTGACAGTGGTGTGACTGTATGGGGCCAAAGGGACCAAAACTTTCAGGGTTCTACGTCTCCCAAAGCTATTTCCATTTAAATGGAGAAAATAAAATTTCAAATGGATTTTAATACCAGTTCAAGCGTGGTTGAAGAGGACCGACTCTTTCTGCTTAACTGACAGAGAAATTTGAGCATCATCAACAAAACACTGAGGGGGCTATTATGTTTTCTAAAAAAGCAGGAGCCATAGAATAGAGCCTTGAGGGACACAGAAGTGAGGCTGTGGTTAACTGCTCTCTTCTGTATCTGTTCTTCCCTGGCGACCTGTCAGAAGGTTTAACCCTGCCTCTCAACTAAACGACAAGCTGCAAGAAACAAATGATGCACACAGAGTTAAAAAAAAAAAACAATGCAATGTGAATATCACTGCAGGATCATTCATTGTTGTCATAAGTTGGAGAAATTACAAAACAAGTTGATAAGTTTGAAGGATCTATGTTTTCAAATAGCCACATATACATGGAAATCCAAGATTATTGCTGAATATTGCAAAGATATTATTAATAAAAAGATTTTCCTGATTCTTCTCCCTAATCACAGTTTAAGTAAGCTACAGCGTTAGCAACAAGCTTAGAGGGCCATGTGCAGACTTTTGACCAGCTCTTCTAGCAATGGAAAAAGGTAGAATAGTATATTCTGACTGCTGCGTATACATGCTCTGCATAGCTAATATATATTTAGCAAGTTAGATGGACTAAAAGGCCGCATCTCTCAGGAGTTTGGATGGTAAAATGCAGAGAATACAAAGATGTGGGAAATGCATAAAAGGCCAAGAGGGAAATTGGTCAGAAATAATTTTTTAGCAACAGTATGAAAAAATAGACCTGCAGACATTAATATGAAGCATAAATTAAAGTCAGTCTAAAGAAATCACAATAAGATAAAATATAGAATTAACAAAATCAGGGCAAGATAAAGAAAAAAATTAAATTGCAATGAAATCATTAAAAAGTAAAACAGGAAAAATTTCAAGAGCCTGGAGGAGAATGAAATTATTTTCAACTGAGTTTTAAGATTCAGCAAATGAAGCTGCAGTGTTGGACGTTTCCACAGCTTTAGGAGCCGCAGACTCAGACCCCGGCCCCCTTAGTTTCCTACTTTGTAAAAGGAACATTAGGACGTTTAAGCATTGTGATCAAATAATGCTAAAGCAGGATGTTCAGTTAAAAGCTAAGTAGTCAGAAGCCTTACAGCCCTGTAGGTGAGAAGAATTTTAAAGTAAATATAAACATTTCCTAGGAAGAATGGGTGATATCAGAGAATTTACTTTAGTAAACAAGCTGCTATCAAAACTGTATTACAGTAGTTTAGAGAAAACATAATATACACCTGATATTAACAGGGTTTATTCAGAAACGAGTAACTCTAATTTAATGCTTTATAATGCTCTTTCAATGCTCTTAGAAATAATTTTAATGCCATCAACAAGTACCCATGACTCTCCAGCCACTTTTGTTGTTTTGTTTGCATTTTCCCATTCTCTAGCTTTTTCTCCGCCTCAAGCTTCTTTTCCGAACATACGGTTTTACCGGAAGCAGTTCCATGCAAACACGTGGAAACAGTTATATCTGATAAACCTGGCGAAAATAAAGCATTTTAAATGCCACGATAATCACATTTAATGAATTTTAATGCCAATTAAGGCCTTAATTAAAAAAATTATTGAATGACTTTTAATGATTTTTAATGAAACCATGATTGAATATACACAGGAGACAATTGCAATTGTTTTTTTTAAGATGCTTCTTAAATGAAAGAAATGTGTGAAAGAAGGAATAAATTATCTAAAAAAAAAAAAGATCAAATTGTAACTCCTACATTTATTTCATATTCTTTACAGTGGATTTAATTGCAGAGCAGGATGTATAGTATGGTTGTTTTTTCGCTCGTAGGTGGCTAAGAGAAAGACACGCTGTGCAAATGGAAATTTAAAAAAAAATTTAAAAATTTATCCAGAATTAAAATGTTAAAAAAATTCATAATGAAAAAAGTTTTAAGAACAACTTTGCTGTTTTTTTTTTTTTTCAGATTTTATTTTTACACTCAAAGCCTGATGAAGGTCTAGTATTGAATCATTGCTATTAAATGTCTTCTCTTGCAAGTTGGACACTGTCCTCTCTATGTTACGTTTTTTATTAAAAAAAAAAAAAAATGCACTATTTTTTTAAATGATTTAATATTTTATTATTTAAAATGTAATTTTTATTTCTATTCACATTTTTCTTTTTCCATATAGTTTTAAAAATTGTATTCTTTTGAAATTGCGTTTTCCAGATCCCATTCTCTTTGCTTCTGAGGGCGGGCTTTCCTCTTGAGTGGGGAGCGAAGATGCATTTCTATTGGTCGGCTGGAAAACATTTTATTGGTAGAGAGCGAACATTTGTGCTTGGCTTTAAGTAGAGAGAATGTGATCTGAAAAACGCAATTTGAAAAAAGAATGAAATGAGTACACCTCAATATAAAAAAGAAAAATTTGAAAAAAAAAATACTCTTATAACAAGAAATTAGAAAACATAAAAGTTTCCCTTAAAGTTTTTCCTTCATTAAAAAGTTTTAAAAAGTTTCATTTCTTAATTTTTGTACGGATATTCTTTAACAAAACGTGTTCTTTGCTTGCAACAATAATGGAACAAAATCCCTATAGGATGTCATCTGCATAGATGTGACAGGATGTTAGCAAATCCCCAAATAATATTGGCTACAATGTAAGGTAAAAAATAATTACGTGCCTAGAAATGCGCACTGATAAATCCCACAGGGCAGCGGAGCAGAATCAGAAGAGAACTTCTCTGTTCTTTAGCAGAACGCCACATTGAAGAGATGAGAGGTAAACCAATCCAACAGAGAGTGAGAAATGCCCTCCAGAACCATGAGCCTCTTTAACAGGATTAGAGGTTGAGTTTCAAAGGCAGAAATGGGTTCCAGAAGAACCGGCACAGAGCATCTCGTTGCATCCGCAGCCGTTAAAAGATCATGGTGGACTTTCACCAAAGCTGTCTCAGCACAGTTAGAAAGCCAGACTGAAAGGGTCTGAAATCTGGAATTCAGATCGCCAGGATGAGAGCTGGGCATTACTGAGAGGAGGTAGATTTGATAAAGAAGGGAAATGTTTAAACACGGGTCTAGTCTTTTTTAAAACATTCAATTCCTTGCAAGTGAAAACCGTCCCAAACAAAAGAGTGGCCTGAATAAACGCTACCAGACTTGGTCTGGTCTTAGTGAACAGCTCCTCTTTGTGGTAAAAGTTGGAAATAAAATTCCCCCAGCCATTTTTAACCCTTTTGATCTTCCTACCTTTTTCATCCGACTCAGAGTCAGAATCATCAGAGCTCTCCTCCACATCAATCTCCTCTTCCTCTTCTTCCTCCTCCTCCTCTCCGTCCTCATGATCACTGGTGTCTTGCACATCCTGATAGATAATGAATTAAATTTGTTTCCGGCATCATCAATGAGAATATTAAGGACTCTGTGATAAATCTACCTCTTACCATTTCCGTCTCTTCGTTGAGCCCTTCAGCCATTTCTTTCTCACTGGCCTTTTCCTGCTCGTTGTCGGGAAGTTCCTCTTTGTTTGCGCTGAGAAGACACACAGATGACATAAAGACGTTCATTAGAGAACAATGAAACCGCAGAGGAATAAAGAAAATTATCTGCAATCAGGACTTTGCAGATACCTCAACTGAGCAACGATTTTCTGGAAATCAAAGCCTGTAATTATTTCACACAGATGAACAGAAAGGTGGAAGCCACATCCGCCAACTAAGGCTGACACTGTCTTTTAGACAAACAAGCTTCAACAACAAGAACTACAACTGAACGCACTCAGGATTTCAGATTGCATTTTTAAGTTAGCATTGGCTGAGAATGAGCGTGGTTTAGCATTCATCGCTTTATTTGGCTTTCTTGTGGAAAAGACAGTTCAAACTGTTTAAATAAGGAAGGAGGGAGTAAAGAAACGTTTGAGGAAGTGAAGCATAACATAAAATGAGCAAAACAAATCGGTGAACCAGATCAATTGGATAATAATTTTATCCAATTAGATCAAAGGTATGGAAACGACCGATCAGGCAGAATAAAATGAGAATGATAATAATCCTGATGAGCTAAGGATACTGGAAGCAGAGCAGTTTTTAAGCTGATGGTAGAAACCTTAACCAAAGGTGTCTCCATTGCAAGCTGCAGAGAACAAAAGTTATTAAAAAAAATGTATCAATATGGAGCAAATTTGGCGAGTGAAGGGTGAGACCTGAGGAGACATTTGGGTCTGAGCATTATTTAGTAGAGCTGTGTTAACGGGAGCAGCAGGCTTTAACGCAGAAAGGTTAGGTCGGCATTTTGCTGAAGTATTCATCTTCTGTCTCATCACAGCCACAGTTTTCCTTGCTTTCTACGGGGATTTTACAAAAATCAAGAGTTTTTCCTGGTAAAATATAAACAGAAAAACCAAGGCTTTAAAACGTGAGGCAGCAATTCAGTTCCCCGTTTCCGGAGCGGTTTAATTTAAAATTAGCAGTGGTGTAAAAAGTACACACATTTGTTACTTAAGTAGAAGTATAGTTACTGCAGTTTAAATACACTCTGATAAAAGTTGACGTATCAACTTGACCTCTTTACTCAAGTAAAAGTAAAAAAGTATGTGCTCCAAAAACGACTTAAAGTATAAAGTAACCAATTTTTCGACTATTTTGAAAAATACTTTGAGATAGGGCCAAGGATGAGGGAGTTCTTGTTGGTCTCTGTCTCCTGATACGCTCTCGCCTGTGTCCGACCTTTCGGACATTTCAACATCTTTTTCTGAATCCAACATTGTACTGTAGCATGGCATAGACAATTCATGTCTGCAGTTTGAAGAACACCTGCTTGCTTCTGATGATTTCCTTTAGCTAACCAATGAGTGTTTGCATTCTATGACTCATCCAATCACACTAGTTTTCACTAGATGTGGATGGAGCCAATGATCTGCATTTGATGGTGCACATGACATGAAATATTTATTTATAAATATTAAACTGAAGCCAAGAGTGATGAGTAACGTTTGTTTTAAAAATGTAAGGAATAAAAAGTACAGATTCTCTGTCAGAGCGAGAACAACATCCTGGGACTTTGTCCGTTCTCTGTCTTGTGTTCTACTGAATTGGATCCATACTACGGCTGAGGCTGATGACGTTTCACGAGTACACAAGCACATGAGAACGCACAGGTACACATATTGAGAAACTGCCTTTTTATTTTATTTTTTTAAGTTTCAGAACCATGTTTCCTTTTTCTTCCATTTTGCATTAAGCACATTTTAAAGCAATATCTCCTAAAAGCCTCCTCACACATGAATGCTTGCTGTGTGACCAAATGTGACAAATTTGTTCCATTATTCTTGTGAGAAATCTAATTTCTTCTGTGCAATTTTTCTTTCTAATTTTAATTAGAAACATTAGTAACAATAATGGAACAAAACTCTCTCCATATGATATGAATACTTCAGTGAGTGACCAACCAGCTCTGAATAGAGAAGTCTGAGATGAAATGAAGGTGGAAGCAAACAATGAGGGCAGGAAAAGGACGGTGGAAGCTTGAACAAACCTGGCATCCACCTCTTCCACCACCTCCTCCCTTTCCTCCCTGTCTCTCTCCTCCAACAGCAGCTGGAGTCTTCAGGGAGGGGGTGAAGGGTCAAAACGAGGACAGGAAAATAGAGATGGAAGAAGAATGGGAGGAAGAACGGTCAGATGGAGCTCTACACTTTCAGTCGCTGTGGCCCTCTGCAGTTCTTGTTTTTCATTTTTCATCCTCTAACATATCACCAGATTTAGACTTCCCTTAAAATTTTTTAGATATTTAAAGTTCTACTGGCAACAAAACAACTGCGTGCAATGTGAGCCTAAACTTTTACCAGCAAACCAAACCTTTAAAAGGACTGAGGTAAAACCACCCTTTAAATGATTTTAAAGGCTGGAATAAACAGGTTTACTTTCTGTTACCTTTTCTTTTTCTTTTTCTCCCGCTTCTTCAGTTTCTCCAGGTCTTTTTTAGCAAGTTCAATGATGTCTGCCGTCTCCTTCTCAGGGGCCAACAGTGCGTTGGAGAAGGAGCCGGGCCCTCCGTAGAAGGACTGCCGTGTGGAGGCGCGGGACAGGTTCTTCCTCAGATTCTCATTCACAGCTTCGCTCTCCAGCAGTTTGGCCCTGAGGGAACATCCAGGGACACAGACAGGCTTAAAAAACACTTTACAAGTAAGAAAAAAAAAGTATAATTTCATATAATGAAGGCCAGGAAGGACTTTGTTTAAGATACTTGAATGTAAAAAAAAAAAAAAAAAAGAAATAAAAAAAAAACCTTTATAGAGAGCACATAGGCTCTCAGTTGTTCTTTCAAACCCTGCAGGAGACGTGAAAGACTGAGGCTTACAAAACAGAAACCTGGATGTTTAAAAACTACATTAAAAACTCCCAACAGACAAGTCTGTCCAAAGAGGATTCCTTGTGAACCTATTAAAATAAAAAAGCAAAGCCTGGGGCTAATCATTTTTTTAACTGTATATGCCAATAACTCATTCTGGTTGAATTAAACGTTTTTATGAGAAATTACGGCATCCTGCTGTTGTATTAGTTGTTACGTTTTCTTTTAAGCGTTCTTTTTGCTAATTTTGTTAGTAAATATAGCCTTTCCGTGTATTTTTACCATAACAAATGTGATCTCGATTGCATCCCTGTACATGCGTACAAGTGGTTCACAAGCGAGAGGGGTGTAGCGTTGACCATTTATTTTAGTTTCACTTCTATCACCTTCTATTTCACTGCTTGCTAAGTGGCTGTGGGGAGATCTTTAAGCTGCATGGCAAAAAATGCCTCAGAATAGATCTCCTACTGCACCTTTAACCCAGCTGGGTTTGAGCTAATTAGGATTCTGTTAACTTAAAGCAAGAGCTCGCGGTGCCATTGTTTTTTCATACAGTATTAAAAAGGGAAGATCCAGCCTAAATGTTGGGATTGACATCATTCTAATGACCATCTCCAAAACAACATCTTTCTTCTCTAGGGGCTTTCCATTAATAAATAAATTAATGAATGCATGAAAAGTTAAAAAAAATAAAGAAAAATGTTTATGTTTACCTCAGAACCTCTATTTCTTTGATGTAACTCTGAATCATGTTTCCGATTTCCTCTGTGCCTCCTTCACCTGGATAAGAAACAGACTCCAGCTAAGATGTCAGGGATTTGAGATGAGTGCCACAAGAAAAACCCAACCGCCTTACCCGCTCTGGAGAGAGCCTGGTTAGCCTGATCACTGAGCAGCTGGGTGAGGCGGGCCCTCTGAGCATCGATGGTCTCCTGCATGGCTTTGACTCGCACTCTCAGGTTGCTGTTCTCAGTCTGCAGCATCGAGTTCTCGTGGAACATGTCGCTGAAACTCTCGACGCCGTCCTCTCCCACCAGACGTTTCCCCTGCAGGAGATGAATACTTAGATGCTGCAGCAGGAGCTCAGAAAACACAACCCTGGCCCCCCCTCACCGTCTTGTACTCCATCAGCTCCATCTGCAGCCGTGCTATCTCTGTCCTCAGAGCACTGATCTGCTGGCTGGCTTTATCCTGGTTCACCATCACCTTGTTCTTGATGTTTCGGGCTCGATTGGCGTATTTTAATGTGTTCAAGGTTTCCATAAAGTCACGATCAGATGGGCTGATACACGCAATCATTACAGTTTGGCTAAAGTAGAGGAGAAAATATAGGTTTGGACATTTCTGGGCCTTTTTAAAGTTAACAGAAATGAAGAGCTTTCCACTAACCTGTTTCCTCCCAATGAGTCCTGCAGCAGTCGGGTCAGTTTGGAGTCTCGGTAAGGCACATGAGAAGCCCGCTTGCTTCGGTCGCCTAAAGCACTGATTACATTCCCCAGCGCGAGCTTAGCAACAGAGAGGGGAGCAGAGGAACAAAGTTAGCATTGATTTCATTAAAAATGGAAATAACTTAAGCTAAAAAGCCTTTAAGGGCTGGAGGAATGAGTAAAGGTGCAAGCCAGGATGCTAACATTACTGTAGAGCTGCTTTCATACTTTGCATTAGATTTTAACAATGATAGTTACTATAAAGCTCATTAACAGTGTTTTCGCAAATATTGAAAAATTATTCAGAACTAATCAATAGCTTTACACACATTGATGATGCATTACTTAAAATGCATGCATTACATTACTTAAAATCTAATGCAGAGCTCAACTGCAACTAGATCAGTTAAGCTGATCTTTTAGAAAGGCTCTCTCTGCTCTGGGAAGACATTTTTACTGCAGGGAGCAGAGATGGAGGCAGGACTTTATCCACGTTAGTAGGAAGCAGTTCTCATCTAAAGAAGCTAAACAAGGACTGAAAGTTGGATGCACACATCTTGCTCTTCATCCAGATGGTTTATGCTTTTTTTGAAAATGGAAATACATAGATTATAAAATTCTACTGTTTTAATTTTTTTTGGAATAGTATAACTTCTATTAATAATAATATTTTATTGTGCAAACGTGCTTGAAAAATGTTTTTTTATGCTTCATAGCCAGTTGAAGTTTGCAACGTCCAAATATCTAAATTTCTTAAAAATCAAATTTACTTTGTTTTTCTTTTATTATAAACATAATCACTTCTGCAATAATATATTGCAGCTCATGTGTCCCACCACACACGCCTAAATTAGTGCAGATTAGTATAAAATGTTTTTAGACATGCAGAGTTTTCATTGCTACTGAATTCTTTCAAGTTTTTATATTTCATAAGCGAACCTCCAGTTTTATGTAAAGTTCAGAAAACAGAAAAGTTAAATTCTTTGACATTTTAGAACATTAAAAGTAACTGTGTAGCTAGTTACTTTGACTGTGCAGTAACTCAATTATTAACCTAGTTACTTTAATTAGTGACCATTACCTGTTACTTTGAGTAACATAGTAAACACTGCTGATTAAAACTATTCCCAAACATTATAGACAAAAATGTATTAGATCATATCAGATTTTATTTTTATTTAAAAAAAAAAGACAAAAAACTGCTACTATTGTATAAAAATGATTTTCTATAGATACTTCCTTGATATTTATAACTGGTTTAATTCTGTGGTGGAAGAAAAAGAAGGAATTATTTGAGCAGATTCCCACAGGCTTTCATTTTAGGTCTAAGATGATGTTAACATAACCGGCATTAGTCTTCTTACTAACGTCTGTATGAACCAGTGGAGCGATCACACCTTCCTCAGGTCATTCAACACCTTACAAGTAACAGAAGGACTGCATGAAGCCGTTCATTTAAAAACAAGGTGCATCTCGTCTGTAAATAATGACCCAGAATTTCTAAAATAAGTTTTCGTTTAAATTACTTTACATTTGTTTCCATAAGGATTAACTTCAGACCAAAACAGTTTGAGATGTAAATCCTGTTCAGCACTATAAACTGAAGGGATGTGCACACAGACAAGAGGAATTCATATAATTGAAGAATATAAGGCTTAATTTTTAGGATGAAGAGAATATTGATGTTTCAAACAGGCTGAAACAGTTTTAAAAACTAAAAGTTATCCCTTCATGAAGAACTTGTGGTTTTATTTCTTTCAGCTGAAGACAGAGCAAGTTTTTTAATCCAGTTATTTTTTAAGAAGAAGCAGCCTTTCAGGGTAGTAATAATACCCTGAACCACTAGGTGGCAGTCTAATTTAAAACAATAAAAAGACTCCAGCAGAAAGTTGCATGGAAATGGCTCACCAGTCCACAGTTGATGGAGATGCCCTCTTTGGCTCGGTCTCCCGTTGCTCCAGTTCTCTTCAGTCTCTCAGAACCAGCCAGGTCCACAAAGTGGAACTTGGCAGTCAGGGTCTCATATTCATCCATCTCACCGTTTCCATTAGAATCTTTATTATCTTTCTCACTTTCCTGCTGAAATGTGAGGAAAAGCAAAACAGAGTTCCTTCAGCTAAACGTGACCAAAACAAGAAGTTTTTATTTTATTTTATAATGTGCTGTTTGCTTTAGCTCTCACTAACATTGTCAGAGGCACAGACGCGGACTTGGCACAGGTGGATGGTGAAGATGGCGTGGGATCGGGAGCTCTGGACATTCATCTGAGTGCTGGCTGTGGTGCGAGACAGAGCCCCCAGCTTTAGGCACTGCATCATCTGCAGAGGCACACAGAAGGCCGATAAGCACACATGGCAGCATCATCAAAATAAAACAAAGGAAGCACTGGGTCTAATTTCACTAAGCTAAAACTTCTGATGGTAACTAATATATCAGTAATAAATATTGCTTCATGACTGTAGGCCTTGAAGTGTTAACCTTTTATAGAGCACTCAGTGAAATACTTTGAAAACAGAAAATTCAAGCCAATAGTGTTATTGGAATCCAAGACAAGACCTTATTACCTTTATAACATTAAAAAATGGATAACTTGCAAAAACCCTCTGAGAGGGAAAGAAACACATTATTTTTGGTACAACATAACCTTAGAGGCATTAATGCTGATACTGGCACTTACATTTTTTTTGTTTATAAACCTAAATATTATTGTTAAATAGACTTTTGAACTTTACTTTTTAACTTTTCAATTAGCTTTTTCCCTTTTTTTCTTGACTTACCTTTTCTTCAACTTATTTACAGTAGGATATATATAATTCCAGGGCTCATCTAATTGGTCAAATGCCAAAATAAGATGTACAGCCATGTAGCAGTATCTTTGCTGAATGGCTGGACATAGATGTTGTGCTTTTAGACCTCACTGAGGGAGAGGGGGGGGGGGAACTCCATCTGTAAGGGGGGTGTAAGTGATCAAAAACGTTAACTTGCCCAATAAAGGGTTAAACAGGCTCCTTTAAATGAGAGGAAGCAATAGAGGTGGTGTTAAATTTAATGCCACTTAAATGATTACATCTGTCTGGTTGGTTCCCAATTACAGATTATTAAAAAGCCTGACAAGCCAATTATTTTTAGAACTAAGACTTTAAAAAAAACCCTAATGAATAAAACCGCTGCTGCATAATACCCAATGGCTAATAATAAGAATGCCTTGGAAATATTAACTTAAATACATAAATGCTTAACTTACTCATTTTAAAAAGCAAAACATAATTTGTAATCATCTACTTTTTTTTGTTCATCAAAGCTGTTTTATTAAAATTGTTCTTAATGATAAATATAATAAATTTTAAATGATCTATTTGTTAGGAAATGTGAAATAGCAGTTCTGTGTAAAAAGCTGAACTAAAGCAGGTATTTGTTCTGTAATTTATTTTATAACCATTTTTTATGAATAATGAGCGACTCCGCCTGCAGCAGTGCTTGGTGCCATCTAAAGCTGCACAGATCCTCGCCCTGTAGTTGCTTTCTGCCAAGCAGCACCTCTGCTCTTCCTCTTCTGTCTCCTTTCATCGGTTCTCCATTATTCTATGTTGTGTTTCTCGTGTTGCATCAACTTCTCACCGTTTTCCCTTAAAGATCACAGGTCGCGTTTTGGCTTTTTGTGGAGCCCAAATAACTCCTAGACTTCTGTTTTGATCTGCCACAGTTTGTTTGCATCACGCTGTGCTTGGCTTTACATACAGACACGTTAACAGGCAGATGAAAAAGTAGTTGTCATCAAACGCAAGCATTTTCTAGTGAAGATAAACTATCTAAAATGAATGTAGTATCAAAAGAATCAAAATTTGAATCTAAAAAATAAATTTTTGAGCCTATAGTTCTGATATCTATATTTTAGTATCGACCTTCACATCACTCATATGTTTAAGCATTGTTTAGGAGCTGAAATGAGCGTGTGACCAGTGGGTACAGAGTTATAGGTGTGAATATTTCTGTGAATTTAGTTAAAAAATATTTATTGAAACAAAATGGAAATTAAATACAGTATTTGAATTGAATCTAAGCTGAGGCTAGTGGCTAGCAGACTGCTGAGGACAATCTGCATGAAAGTATTCATCCAATGAAATATGCCTTTATAAAAATGCATACATCTTAGAAACAATTCTACATCGAATGGTGGTTTAAACTATTTTTCTTTCTTTTCTCTCTGTAAATAGAATAATTGTATTTGAAAGCTCATTTAGACTTATTTTCTAATCAGAACAATCAGGCCGAAATACAGTATTATGCATTAATCTTCATTTGGCATTGCTTGTGTGTAAACAAATGACGCAAAAACAAAGATGTGGGTCGAGCTGATTTAAGTTTCCTGTTGCGTTACTATATCAGAAAGCTTATTTATCCCGCTAAATGTCCATTTTTTGTTGCAGTGTTATAACATTCCTTCACAGAGATCCAGGCTCTGTTTGGTTTATTACCTCAGCCTCTGAGGACACAGTCCGGGTGGTCACTCCGACTGTGTAGATTCCCCCGTTGGCGTCTTCATGTATCTTAATGTTAGACTTCTGCTTCATGTCGCGTGTGGAGTCAAACAGGTCCAGGACCTCCTCATTATAAAGCTAAGAGCAGAAAACAAACCAGGAACACTTTAATGATCCTTCATAAGCTCTTTTATTTGACATCCACATACAGTCCAAGAAGGAACAGACAGACAGATGTTTTCCCGTGCATCTCTGGTCTTCCAGTTCTACTTGTGCTGCAGTAATTTAACCAAAAGGTTTAGGGTGGTGAAGTTTTTTACTAATCCCTTAAAAACATCTGCTACTCTGGAAAAATTATCTAGAGATGGGTAAAAATTTCTTCAATTAAGTGTATTACGCTTAATTTGAGTAGGTAAAAGAGATGATTTTCCAATGTAATGAGTATTTTTACTCTTAAAATAAGATATTTGGATAAAATGCACTTGAAATAAGACAATGCAATTGTGTTTTCTTATTTTAGATGTAAGTTGCCTTTTTACATGGCAAAATGTCTCTTTTACCTTTCAATCCCAAAACAACTGCACTTATTTTAAGAAAAATATGATTTATCTAGATTTAGATTTTTTCCAGTGTTTTCTTTAACTTCGATGAGTTCTGCTGTTACCGTTGGCTAAACCAGCAGAGCTTCTGTTTAAACCATTTCATCTGCTGTATTTGGTCACCCTTCCCTCTAAGGCTAACAATCCTGTAGAGGCGTGTACCTCGAGGAACTGTGCGTTGATCTTGAACTCCGGTACGGGACGCCCCTGCTCCTGAGCTGCCTGGCGGCGCTCCTCGATGCCCTTATAGAGGTGATGGACAGCATGAGGAATGATGCCCAGCTCCTCCTCTGTGATGTTGACATCGAAGCCGGTCCCCATTGTGTACGTCTTCCCCGATCCTGTCTGGAGGGGAAAGAAGAAACATTAGAGATGGATGTGGACCAGTTCCTGATAAAGGTTCAAAACAACTACTATAAAACATATGAACAATTACCAGATATAGCAATATAATAATAATGTATAGTTCAGGTAATGTATGCATTTATATTTTAGCCCAATAAAACCCATGATGTTTTAACTTAAGGCAGGAAAATCTCATGAAATTTGACTTTAGAGGTGCTGCTAAAATTTGGCTGAATTTTCTTCTAGTGTTGTTTTGTAAATGAAAATCTAACTTAAATTATTATTATTATTATTTTTTTCTGTTTTTCAGATGGAAGTTGTGTTTTGACCGATACACTTTCTCTTGATGCACACATTAACCAAGAAAATCTTGTTGCTAATGTCCATGCAGACCAAGAGAAAATCTTCTTAGCTCCTAATTCAAGCCCCCAGAAGTGAAGAGATTGTGATCTGGAAAACGCAATTTAAAACGATTGAAATTCTGGAGGAAAAAAAATAGAAGAAACTGAAAAAATATAAAATTAGTAAAAAGTAATAATGAAAATTATTTTTTCAAATCTGTTAAATTATTCTGGGAAAAATTTACCAATATAAAATTTAAATAAAACTAAAAAGTTACTCTTAACAGACCCGGCTCCAGAGGAATCTAGATTGCGTTTCGAAACACAATCATTGTTTGGGTTTTTCTATTCACACATCTGTAGCTGAACCTATTTGAGTCTAGAGCGTTACACTCGCTGAAGACATTTTTCAGTGGAAGTGGAGGAGGAGTTGTCACCCTGTGGAAGCTAAAAAGGTTAATGCAGCCTTAAATGCTGTGAGGACACTTTGCTTTGCCTCCAGGGTGCTGTAAAAATTATGAAGCGCTGTTTTTATTGCAAATTTCCCTTCATTTGGTATTGTAAAGGTCTCTGTGGGTTTTAGAATGTGTTGACAAGAAACAGAGAAGCTCAGCTTCATTAATTGGGGTTCCTGTTACAATAAGCAGGGGTTTCATTTTTTTTCAGGGTCCGCGAGGGAGATACTTTCTGAGTTAAGAGAAGCAATAGTTTCTATTGGCGTGCCATTTCGCTCTTCAAAATGGGGTGCAGCAGCATCGATGCAGCTGTAAAATTGCAGTTTTTGCTCTACGATTGCCTGGTTTTCCTGTGCTATTGCTCCTGATCTCTGCTCCACCTAAAACCATCTAGATTTCTGCTAGAACAACACTTTCTCTTCCTCTGATGGTTGACACCGTCAGTAGCCCTTGTTCCACTGCAGCCTCTCCACAACTCTACGAATGCCTCTTTGGTGCGCAGGGCAAAAAATGCACAAGCTGAACAGCTGTTTGGAGATCCATTTCAGCAGAAATGCGATCCAACACTTCAGGTTTCTTTGCTTGCAAAAATAAAAGTCACTGCATAAATAATAAATACCATGTAGAGCTGAAGTTTACAGTTTTTTTATATTACCCTTCTGAGCCTAAAGCCCCACAGTGTCTCTAATGACAAAGTTTTTTTCTAAATCCTGATATAATGGGCAGTAAATCTCTACTTGATTAACAGTGCAAACAGGTTTTTCCATAAATAATTTTTATTTATTTTTTTGGATGCACATATTCAGGCAAACTGAGACTTGAATAGCCAAATAATTAATGGATGAGACGGATTTAGTCTGCTCCACCCATCGTTAATGCCTGTTTATATCAAAACCCAAGCAGGGCTGCAGTCTTGTGATGCAGACAGAGGGAGGGCAAACAGCCATGATCTAGGCCAAGCCATCCTCTCTGAACATGAACTCATAAGTAGGCCAGCCACTGCAGGGATGCAAATGTACGCCTTAACGCTGCCACACATGAAAGATGTATGAATGAGGAGTAAATGTACTCAATCACACAGGTGTCACCCAACTGCTCGCTGTGTCTATGGCAACCTGGAAGGTAGGCTGATGTAGGAGGAGAGGGCTGTCAAACTGAACACATTAAAAGGGTTCTTCTGATATCGGCATCAGCAATACAATTTACAGTGAGAAATGAAACTAAATGTAAACTAAATTGAATTTAGTGTTAAATGCTTTTAAAAGGATAAATAAATATAATTATTTCTATCCAAATTGTTTAATCCAGCTACCACCTGCCAGGTGATTTGTTGGTCCTGTACGAATGTAATACACCACCACTGGAAAAAGCAAATCTCTTCTAAACCAAAGGGTGGCAGCATTGATAGAAAACATCCTTACTAGTTTCACATTTTAACTGTTAGTATATTAAAACCAGAAACTAAAAACTGAATTAGAGTAATTATTTAACCTAACAAAGATGAAAATACAGATGCACTAAGTTTTTTTGGGGAGAAGGAAAATGTATAAGTCTCTGCAGATGACAGTCTCTATTTAGCTAGAGATAAATAACAACCAAACTATGTTAATACTAGACAAGCACTCTGAGAGCTCAGACATTAAGTTTCGCCTCATATTTTTACTCACACCTATAGCTAAAACCTGCACATGATCTGGATCAGTGCCAAATTTAAAATAATTGTTACTTGTTGGCATGAGGCGCAGCTTTGGTAACAATTTCTTTAAAATCCTTTTCTAAGTTTCTAAATAAGGCAAAGTGCGTCTGCAGCCTCTGGTGTCTGTTCTGCTCTCACCTTCATTCACTCTGCACTCAGCTTTCTTGTTTGATCAGCAGATGGAGACTTTGAGTGAGGCACAACTCACCTTTCTATGTTTTGTGTTGAATCCCAAACCAACCTCTAACTACTAACCCTTAACTATCAAGTGTCCCTCGCAATAAAGTCACACGCAGCTGTTGAAGGAGCGTGGATTATATTTGTGGGGGATATCGACTTGAATGGGATGGCCTCTTCCCTCCAATGGAAAAGGAAAGCAATCGTTCCTATGGCAACACAGTGCCAAGCATGTGTGTGGCTGTAGCTCAAACATTTTGAATTTCCTAAAGATAAATCAAACCAGTCGAATCAAACTATTTCAAAGAAGACCTGCTATTTTGGGATTAATTACTCCTTTTTTATGTTTCCTAACTTGTGATTTTCTGTCAGTCTGCCGAAGATGCAGCAAACCAACGGAACTTACATTTGAAATGCACATGTTTGCTCCATAACTAGTCCGCAGTTACACCTGCTGGCAAATTCCAGCGAGCCGATACTGATGTAGACTCACTATTTAAGGGCAGAATGGCCCACTCGCCCTACCCACTATATGGCTTGGTACAGCCCAAATGTGGTGGACCCTCCGCGAGAACACGCAAACAGAGGGTTAGCTTTGAGGGGTTGGTTTGATATTCAGTCTTTTATTTCAATATAAAACTTCTGGACTTATTTTTTTTTTTCCCAGTCCAATGCTGAAGCTGTCAATAGCCCAATGCTGAAGCTGCCAATAGCCACCCTCTGGTTTAGGGGGGAACTGCTCCTTCCGCCAAATAATGTTAAAGAATCTTTTAAATAATTCAGGCATCCAGTTTATGATATTGAACATAACCAAAATTTGTTCCTTTGACTGAGATACACCTCTGGCAAAAATGTCATTAAAATCTTTTCATAGCTTTTCAAATTATTCTGTACACAAACACACAAACTCAACTGAAAACAACCTCCTTGGTGGAGCTATTAATGGTAACTATAATTTATAAAGGTATATTAGGAGATTATTCTAGAAATTGATATACTTACGAATCATAGTAATTTTGAAAGTATACGGTAAGAGATAAGATTACCCCCCAAAATCTATGCTGAAGGAAGATCATCCACTATTCCTTAAATTGTTTTATTTAAAATAATAAAATAAAATTTTAAGATATTGCTTGTATAAAAATAATTAAAATAATGTAAAAAGCATTAAACAAAAGTCTTCCTTCTAGTGATCAGAAATTATTTAAAGTCATAGGGAAGCGGCAGTTCCAACCGTTGCATTTCCGAATTCTCCAGAGTGGTCCATGACTTTACGCGAGTCAATAAAGTGAATGCTATTGGTCGTGTATCAAGGGGGCGGGATTGTTGTGGCGGAAGGTTGGCAAGCAGTTTGGTTGTGGCTGGTTTGTCTGAAGCATCTTGCTAACCAGTTAGCAACTTAGTGCTAGTAGGTTTCCAATGGGAAATTCCATTGGGACAAAGTAGCAATAAATTGGTGACTTAGAAACGACACTGTCAAGGAACGCTATGGACAGCCGAAACATGCAAGAGGAGGAGAGTTTAGAGTCGGAGGTCATGGATGAGTCTCCTCTGTCATCCATTTTTTATTTAGAGGAGGAAAGCGGGGACAAAGATGTTGTGGAAGAGGTCGCCAGGGCGGCAGAAGCTTGGTTTGGTGTAGAAGGCTTACAGCTATATATGTTTGAGCCCTTGCCTCACAACGCTGCCAGTTCTGTTAGCTCTACGCCTGCTGAAGACACAGACGTCCATCCCCGTGAACACTGGGACGGAACTCAATGGGAAAGTCAATGATTCTTATTTCTTATTTCAATTGTTGCGTATATCAGCTGTGACATATGAATCAAGATGCCATGACCGAAAAAATTTGATTGACAGATGACCGTTGATGTATGATTGGCCGAATTTAGGTGAACAGGCTGACGTATAACTAACAGGACTGCATAAGATAATGGAAAAAAACGCCAGATTTTAAGACAGTTTTTTTTAAATAGAAATTTTCTAATATCATCTGATAAAGAGTACATTTATATACATGTTTAAGCCAGAATGATTTAACATTTAAATATGATTTCCCTTCGCCTTTAAGCTAAGAGAGAATAATTATATTTTGTGAGATTTGTTTATATTTGAATGTGCAAAAGAGAGAAGCCAGATAAAGTCTAGATGTGTTTCAGTTATTGGTGTGAAAATGTGGAAAGAATTGAATGATGACTTTAATTTATGTCCTTTCTTTTTGAACTTTAAAATAGCTTTAAAATGTAAAATGATCAAATCTTATGCTGTTATGTAGATTTATATATGTATTGTAAGGATATCCTCGTAGGTTGTAAGGTATAAAAACAGGGTAGG